TGTTCCCCGCGACGCCGGCCGTCGGGACGGCCGAGGTGTAGGCGCGGCTAGAACGGTACCATCGTTAGCAGCACCGGCGGCGAGAGTGGTGAACCCCGGCGGCAGGGTTTTCCCCCCGGTGGCGGCAGGGGAGACGGCCGGGCAGCAGAATCTCGAGGCGGGAGCGGCAGCATCGGCAGCAACACCGGTGCGAGACGGGGACCACCGGCAGTCATGTGTGTTCCCCGCGGCGGCGGCCGGCCGGGACGAACGCACTCACGAACGGAGCAGCGGCACCATCGTTGACGGAAGCGGCGACGACAGGAGCGGCGACGTCAAACTGTTAGATGTACAACAAAGAATAGTACAGCGGAGAAACGGAGAAGGATGAAAGAAAGCAGCTACAGCAGCAGTAGACGAAATGCAATACTCTGGATAGGGGAGAGAGTTCGCGAATCCTATGCAGCATATGTACAAACACACGCATAGAGGAAGTTCTTTCCCGCCGTGAACTCCTTCTTAGGTTGGCGAGCAATGTTCCTCGAGGCCATCTCATGTACTCTCGAAAAATCGGCAGCGGCACGGGCGGCAATCGCAATGAACCGGAGATATTCGCTTCGCGGACCCTTGAAAATATATTACTACGGAATTCCAAGAGCCGGGAAAAGGGGAGGGACGGAGAGAGGACAAATGAGAGTTATGGGCGAAGGCGTATGTATTACGCGCTTCCTCCGTGGTAGAGGCCTAATTAACCGTACTCAGTGTGATGCGAAGGTGTACCGATTCTGGTAAAAGTCGATCGACGGATACCCTGCGAATTGGGTCCTGCTTAAAACTCTCCACCCACAGAATTAACCCTCAACTGGGAACCTCTTGTGGCCAGGACGGGTAGTTCGATGGAAGTGTCACAGGGTTCTTTGTAGGATCGACTCCAAGAGGTGTTCTCAGGATTGACACACATGGTGCCCATGGGAAAATGTCCACGTCAGAAGAAAAAATGTGCATACAAGGAGATTCAAACCAGTATCCTGGCGCTGCCGCCACATGCGAAGGTAGACCGATTCTGGTAAAAGTCAATCGACGGATACCCTGCGAATCGGGTCCTCCTGAACAGTGACATGGAAAGCGTCCTCAGTTGGTGGCTTGCGGCTCTCTCGGAGTTACGGCACACACCGACAACATTCATTATGAGCATGGAAGAGATGGACGGAGGGACGGGTAAAAGTCAACTTGTCAACGTAAAGAGGGACGGGCAGTTACACAACTTGTCAATTTGTCAACGTTCCACGTATTCTGTGTAGCCGTGTAGATGCACACCACACCACCGAACCATGTACTGCAGCAAGATCAGGGGCAGCGATCGCGGCAGTTGACATGCGGTCCGGAAACCCTGCTTCACATGCAGTCCGAAAACACTGCTCAACTCAAAGCAACTACACCAAAAACCGAGACAATCCACGCGCATGGAAGACACACAATAAGAAAAAAGGCCGGCATATGCATGCATGTACATATTTTCCGAACATGATATAAACGAGAGTAAAGATGATAGTGGCTGTCCCTGCACGTTTTTGGGAATGAGTGATGAATGCGGGTGTCCTACACGCAAACAGACAGAGAAACCGCATACCTCCGACATACCTGCTGTTTTGCATCACAACAACAGCAGCCTGAGGGATAGAAGACATCAAGGGGGCAAAGATGGAAAGCCCCGCTCACTCGCAAGAGAAAAAAACACTGTGCTGCAACCGGACGGACCCTCTTGTCTGTTCAACCGCCCCGTTCGGGGTGCTGCACAGCCAAGGCTGACTTGTCGGCCACAGGAGGCGGAAGCTCCTCAAACTCGGGGTGATAATCTGTGATTCCCCACCGAAGTATACTCGAGACTCCGCGAGGTTTGAATTGAAATTCGAGATCAGCATTTCAGGCCGGGTCGGGCAAGGGGTGGGGGAGTCGAATGAAACTTCCACAGATATTGGTCTGAGAAGCTGAAGCTAAAGCTTCAGAATTCTCCGGACGTCGATCATGTACACCTTTTCGGCTTCTCGGTAATTTAATAAATCTAAGCGCAATAGCCGGGGTCACACAGGAGCCGCACAGGAGCTGCTTTCTCCATTTTCTTTCCGCGGTGCATGTCTTGATTTTTCACAGGCGAAGGATTCAGCCGTCCCTTCACTCATGAACGCGACGTCCAGTGTTTTCGTACACGCGGAGTTATCGCGTTCCACGTGATGTTTGAGGAGATAGCCAAGTGTCTCGTGTGAAACAAATATCCCCAGTTCATGTGACTGCACCGAAATTCGAACCCACGCCCAAACGTAGCAGGTTCGTGACGGTACGTTCTGAACCACTCGGCCGCTGTACTGAGTGACCTGCATGATTCTTTTGCAGGTTGTTCCATATCGACTCTTTCAGAGGAGAAATAGTCCACGTGTTGCGACTTAAATTTGGTGCCACTGACTCGTGTGTTTTTTCACTGTTCTCTGCTCGGGAGTAGTGGAGCTACCCTGAACCCTGAACCAAGCACACAAGAGAGAAAGTCTGGCAGTATTACAGAGGGGGTTTATACTACCGTAGCTCCGGTTCTGCGGATAAGGTCTGGACTGCTGTTGCACTTGGAAGAATGCCACCTTGGTCTCTTTGACTCAATGTAACCTACAGTGGCGGGTGCGACCAGCTCGCGGGCGAATCCACCGAAGACGTCGGTGTAACCCCATCTGTCATGGCCAAGCCTTTCAATCATTACAAGTGACTACCCCTCTTCAACTTGATGTCTTCAGTTGAAACCAATGCGGAAAAGGCTGTGAAAAGGGTGACTGTACGGAAGAATCGCCGTACACGTCGCAAATAGTTGAGTTGCCTCCCCCGTGCAACATACTTGATCTGGACCACGGGGAACGTACAACCACCTCTAATACTTCTCATCATCGCTTCACCAACGGATATCGCCCACAAAAGCCCCTGCACAATGATTCGGGGGTCAGGCAGCGACTCATGACGCGAAGGGTCTAGCCCATGGCTTCCCATCTTGGAATAGACATTGCTGTGGTCCCAGGGTGAGTCCATGTGACAGATGTCCTGCATGTTCAGATAAGGGACGATCGTAACCGTTACGAAAACATTCCATCAGATCTGACGGCTGTAGGATGTCTGTGCGGCCTGCTCGGAACGGCTAATGGTATCATATGTGGTGAATGAGTAGGTTAGCCGAAAATAGACGAAGTTGTATGGCCGTGAGCGGTTGCTCGTGTTGTGAACAACCCGCGGCCTCTGCGTTCACTTGTCGCACGATCAACCGTGTCAGCGTACACAAGTTAACGAGAAGGCGGGAGAATGTAATCGAAGCGGGCATGAGGGAAGGAAGACACATGTATGTGGCGGTGCAGTGATTGATACAACACGAACTTGAAATAGCAATGCCCACGAAGTCAAGGTGGCCCAACTCTTGCTTAGAGAAAAATATCATGAGACGCTAGGTCAATAAACACGACCTTCCGTAGGGTAGATTTCATTCCTCGTTGCGTTTGAGGTCCAGTGTAAACACTGTGATTGTCTTTGGCGGTGAGTGAGGTTTTTCTCGTAAAGTATGATGTGGTTCTTCAGCAGATCTCATTCATGAAAATGAAAGACGGACACCGTAGACGTGAGTATGTTGGTCTTGGGCCATACCGTACGAAAACAGCACACTTGCTCCGCCCGCCATGTGCCGTTGCGACAGAAAGCTACTCCTGAGGGCCTCAACAGATCGAACCAACAGAACGATGCTTCACGAACGTGTGAGCGTAAACGATTCTGGAAATGAAACATGAAACGACTTCTTCAGTCAAGATCCAAGACACACAGCCAGCCGACTACGCATGTTGCATATCTCGCACAAACTTCCAGGCAAATCTGTCAAGTAGCATTTTTTCATGAACACCCTCTGATGGTGCTAAACAATCAAGTTCATGTTCACAAATTGGTTCTCTGCCCCTACGCCATGCGACTATGCCGTGCACTACCATATACCCGTAGGGGCATGTTCTCAAGCGAAATTGGGATTGCCAAACGTGCCGAAACCTTTCACTAAATCGGCTTCAAACGACAACGAAGCAACGGTATTGGATAGTGGACAGCGAGGATGAGCAGGAGCGAAACGTACCACTCCAGTCGAAAACCAGGACTCCTTGGAAATGGTAATCATGCGTGTTGTGTGCCCAACTTCTACGTCAGATGTCATGTTGTCAAGTGCTGCCGGGTCCCATCAATAGTTGGTATGCAAAATGCGGGTTGGCGACAACGTGAAGCCAACCGAGGGTGAAACGCTACTCTAGTACCACCACCCGCACCGTCATTCGAGTTTCTCACAGCATTTCACCAATATGTGTTGGGCCATCAGCATCTCTCACAGTACTTTGAATCCTAGAGGGCAATCCAGGTGGACTCTGCAAAGGGCAACACAGGCGCGGAACTCACAAAGAAAATTTGCAAGGCGGATGCGTGAGAACGCTGAAAACGTTCGGTGGTCGTTTCGCCGTCACCTCGAGATATGTTCAGTTTGCGTACACCCCCTTTCGCGTGGCGGGACTGTGTTCGAGTTCTAGGCAATGTGCTGTGACCGCAGAACAACAGCAGCGAGTCATACCACCCGCCAATCACGTGCACTCCGTTGTCCTGAAAATGTGCTCTGTTCCAAATTTGTCCCGCGTCAATTTCGTTTTACCTTTGAATTGATCACGACTTTCAATCCTTGCGGAGTGACTCGCACGGTGATTGCTGGAGTCAGCAGCACGCCTAAAATGCCGGGCGCGTCCAACCGCTCGGGCCAACAGTCGCACCTGCCTCGCGAGTCTGTGCTAGTTGGGGAGCGGGGTTGAGGCGGGGGCGTTTGTGGGGGAAAGCGGGGGGAATGCCGCCACCGCTGCTGCTGCTGCTGCCGGCGCCGCCGCCATTGCAACCCCTCGCTGCCGCAGCGTAGAGCGGATGGGTACGTGCAACGCCAGCCTCCTCCATGTCGGTGCCATTCGTGCTGCCCATGCCATTCATCGTGTCGCTTGCGGTAGCAGAACCACACTCCGACTGTCCAGCCGCAGGGTGCACTTGCTCCTGTCGGCTCGGCATCCTGCTGGCGAGCCTGTCAATCGCACTTGACGAAGAGCGGCGAGAGGCACGACCAATCCCATCGTCGACTTCAGCGCTCTCAGACGGCTGTCTACGGTTGGATTTCATTCGGCTCATGATGGAGGAGTTGACTATCCTGGTTCCGGCAAGAGGACCGCCTCCACCGCCGGCAGCGGTAGCACCACTTGTGGCTCTGCGGAGGGAAAGGCTGAGCGCAGCGCGACGCTCGCCCTGATTGACGACGGAATTTGGCTTGGTGGAAGAGGCGGATGCTGCACTCTCTTCCCGCGAGTGATGTCCGGTTGATTCTAGGTCGTGATGTTCGCCGATCATGCCCTGTAATGTGTGATTGTTTCAGAACAATAGCATGTGAGCAGACGGTACACTGAACAATGTCTTCCGCTACGACACGGACCACATGTAAGGGCGTTTCCTCCCTGCACCAAGTCGGACGCAGGTTTTGCAGCAAGCCAACGGTTGACATATACAGAAACGCCGATGCCTGAGTCAATAATTCACTGATTCTTGCTTGCTGCCAACAAGCAGAGTCCTCGAGAGAGTTGACGAGATTAAGTACGCAAACTACTCACCGTACACACACGGTCGCGCTGCTCAAGCTCGGCAGTCAGCGGGGTCTCTTCCTCTGCGCCGCTGGGTTCGCCTCTGAGCGCCGCCAGTAGCTGCGTCTGCAAGGCATCGGTGGCCTTCCTAACTCGCAAGCTGAACTTTGTGAGACCTTCTTTGATCTCGTTTTCGCCCTTGAGCATTCTTGCCTGAAGGCGCCGACCCAAAACGCATTTCGTAGCATAACTTCGTTCAAAAGCTTCACAGCCTATTCTGTATTTTTACTCCTTCAATGATTGTTCTCAGAATTACATTTGTCAAGAGGAAACCCATTTGGGGGCAGTTGGGTTGTGACCACGGCAGGCGTCCACGTCAGTTGCACGAGGTACTGAGCAAGGACTGGAACGGCTTTTATATTTATTGCAACACAATACACAAGCAATCTCAACAGCAGTTCTGAAAGAGTCGACACGTTCCCGCCACACTTGTGATCTATGTCGGTTTGGTCTGGGGTAGGTCTGGGGTAGTCGGTCGTCCATGCAGTTTCGATGAAAGTGTTCGCACACGACAACGCGTCCGCGAAAACATGAGCTATTATAGTCTAGGATCTGCCCCGACATGTGAGGGTAGGGTTGGGAGAAGAGTTTGTCGAGGGACGTATCGTGGAAGTAGGGCGAGTCAGGAAAAAGAAGCGGATAAATATGGTGCGACTGACGCCACCAATGACGCCAACGGACCGTAATCGACGCGAGTCTTGTATTCCTTCACAGCTCAGAGGTTATCTCATCGAAAGTGAGAAAGTTACATAGATGTGCCGCACGTAAAATGCCATCTGGTTGCTGCTTCGGGTTGGAAAGGACCGACAACAAAGGATCCAACCGGCGGAAGCACATAAATTGACTACAGAGGGCATCCTTCGCCGAGGTTTTCGTGAAACATCATATGTATGACACAAGCGAATAACTTTGTAATGTTTGAGAATACCTTCATGGACAAAATATCTGCGTGTACGAGGCATGGGGGTTTCGTCACGTCGCCCACGCGGCCAAATAGATTTTCCAGAACACCCTTGCCAGTACGTGTATGCATGCACCTGCTCTGCCTTCACCCCCTTGATGGCGCTGCTTGCGGTCGTGTAGGAATCGGTGATTTTCAGGAATCCGTCCCCGACCTTCTCCCGGATGATGGCCTCCCTCTCCCGCTGATCCCGCACAACAGCTAGCTCTTCTTCTGGAAGGTTTTCATCTTCACCGCTGCCCATGTCTTCGGCACCCTCCGTCACCTCCATGTCGCCTTCGCCCCCCTTTCGGTCAGCTCCGGATGACCTCGAGTCAACACCGGCACTGCTAGCCCTGCCATCCTCCACCTCGTTCAGGCAATTCGCAGGCTCTTTGGCGGCGAAGGCGGATGTTGCCTGGTTGTCGGGCTTTTCAAATGAAGAGGAACCGATCGGGTCGGAGCTGTCGGTGGCGCCGGCACCGGTGCGGTCTCCGCCGGCGCAGCAGCCGCTGGCACGGCCGGAGCGACCGTTCTTGGAGGTGCTCTCATCATCGTTGGCATAGTCAGAAGCACCATCGTCACTGTGTTCCTCCGCGTCGAGTCGCGCCTCACCAGAACCCGGAAGCCCACAGATCTCCTGTTGGTGTTGCTGGTTGTCGTCCTCTGGTTCCTGAAGCCTTTCCCGACGGGACCTCTGCGGGGACTGTTCCTGCGTCTGCTGATCGAATATTTCGTTCTCGTCCGACGCCCGCGGTGGGGGTTGTTGGGTGGCCTGCTCATTGATGTCATCCCCCTGTGACAGGTGCGACGGTTCTTGCGTGTCTTCTCTGATAATGCTGTCGCCTGGGGGCGCCATCGGACCGCGAGCACGAGCTCCCTCAACCGCCCGGGGTTCCTGCTGCTGCTGCCTCTTTGCTTCTTCGGCTTGCTCGGGGTGTTGGGGTGCACGGAGATGGTGTGATTGCAGACTACTGCTGCCGCTGCTGCCACCGTTGCTGCTGCTGCCTCTACCCGTGGCGTCACCGTTCGAACGTCCGGTAAATCCCGGGTTCATGCTCTGTTCCCTCTCATGCTGCTCTTCTCCGCCGTCTACAGTCGTTTCCTCCTCTTCCTGCTCAAACCGAGAGTACCCTGCGCTGTGGTCACGCGGGTTGCCTTCACCGACTTCAGCACTCTCGCTTTCGTCCTCCGATTCTGTTCCGGTGTAGCCGCCGTCGAAGAATTCGTCTCGGGTCTCCGCGCCCTCCTCGCGGTCACTACCCTGCGACTCGTCCTTCTCTGCGCACAAACGTCCGTCATGAGTTCCGCCGAGAGTACGGCCGGGAGGGCCCTCAGAAGCTGAACGTTGATTGGGGTGGAGAGGGTTCGTGCCGCCATGATTCCCACCGTGATCCCCGCCGACGAAGCTTCCCAGAGCACCGCTCGAATTCGGAGGTGGCCCGGCCGCATGGTGGCGTAGTGGAGCATAGTAGTCCGTCATTGCTGCAGATTCCGTCCGTGCAGTGACTGGTGACGATGTCGTTGTCTACGTCGAAGTTGTCGCGGATGGTCACCTAGATGTTTCGAGTCAGAGCCGATGGGTATGGTCTGGATTGATTCTCTGTTGACAATCGCGATTCTTGTCTATGCATAGGTGTAGATGCTTATTTTGCTTTCCGCTGTTGTTGCGCCGCTGCGTTGTTCCGGAGGCAGCAACGTTTGCCCTGCTTTCATTGCGGCCGAGAGAAACGTGTTGCATCATTCAATGAGAATGTTGCGGTGGCCGGGAGTGCGTAAGAAGCAACGATGGGAAGTAACAGACGCAGTTTCGTCCTATCCATTTTGGCACCATTAACACATTTCGGTGTATGTGTACTGTAGTCTATGGCGTTTTAGTTTAGCCGTGTGAGTGAATTCAAAAATTCCAACTCACACCAGGTGGAGGAATTGCTCAACGCGGCCGGGCATTAGCACGAACGGTGCTTTGCAATAACTACGTGCGTGTCTTGCGCCTCGTTAAAGGTAGGAAGTAGCATCATTTCCACCCCACTAAACAGGGTTAGAGAGCCTGTGTAGATAGAGCAGGGTTCTCTCTCCCAATGACACAGTACAGTGACACCACAAGTGCATGGAACAAGTGGCCCAAATTATGAAACACATGTATGTCAGCCAGGACCCAGGTGAACAGAATGCCGATGCCCTTTCTTTGCGGCCCATTTCTTGGAGCTTGACGCCTCTTGTTGGCTATTCGCCACACTGTTTGACTTTCTCTTGGCTTCCATGGAAAACAGCGGGTTGTCCGTGTACGGAACTGCACCGCAGCAGTATGAGTCTACAGCTGCTGAACTCGTTGGTTTATTCGATGCCAAAACACAAACCTACGCTAATAGTCTGTTGTAAATAGTAGTTCGGGACTCGCCCATCACCGGTATCACTCACCCCTTTCCGGTTCTCGTGTCCGTGTTGTTTGGCTGTAGCTGAGTCCTTGTGCGACCGCTTCTCTCCTCTGGGCGCTCTCTGACGACGCCACCTGCGGGTTCAAACACCCTCGTTGAACAGCGTGGTGATTATATTGGAACTCCCTACAATCCGCGGAGCCCCCGTTGCGCATCCTCCCGCGATGGCTCGACTGGCTCGCCAGCGGAACATGACATGTTCACATTGCACACCATCACATGCGTGTACCATTGAAACGCCACACACACGCAGCAGGCACTTGAAGGAAGGAGCGCTGTGCCTGCGGTGCAGGAAAGCGGGTGTGAGGGCACACCGATGGACATCCCGCTTCGGAGCGAGGATGTAGGGCATTGCAGCTTGCGGAGATATGCCCTCGATAAGGTAAAGGTTGAAGGTTGTCAGGAGGAAAACCACCATTCGTAGAGGCACCCATAGATGCTGCTGGGGCACCCTACACGTGCGTTCTGGGTGAGTAGCTTTCGGTCGCACGCGCGGCCATTGACAGCACGTTAACCCATTGCCAGCACAACTCTGCATAATGGCAGCACCGATTATCTGCGTGCTTCATGTCCCGCATGGTGTGCGTGGACTCACCAGGATTTCAATGGATTTTGGTGATGACTTCAGTCCCCCTTAAGCCGTGGTCACAGCACAGCATTGTTGTCGCTGCAAACCACGCATTGAATGGGAAGGGAGAGCGTAGGTGAGATGTCTCCAATCGCCCCATGATGGACCGGGTTGTCATGGACAAAATAAATTGCGGCGCATTCCCATCCAGTGTGCCTCCTGGGTTGCTGGCGCGCTTTGAGCCTGTCCCGTGCGCAACACATGCATGCCGCCACGCTGTCCCCCGTGTTCTACCAACGCTGTCGTGGCTTGGAATGGCCACACTAGTGCAGTGCAAGTTCTCGCCTTGTATCGGGGTCCGGCAAGAAACACTTTGGTTTTCTTGAACGATTCGTGTTCCCATTTTCGGTGATCTGAACTCCGTCATCTCTCCTCGGACAAGTAGATCCGGGCTGTTGCTGTGACGTTCACAACCAGGCGTCATCCCCTCCACACCAATATTTGGCCCTTCTCACCTGCGGCCTACACCCAACACACCACCATCGTTTCATTTTTGCCTGTTGTGCAGGTGTGCTCGTGTCTAGCGTCAGCCGACCCCGCTGTCCGGGCGGCCCTCTTCTCCAGACTCTGCGGTTCTTGTCTGCCGGCCCCCTCCCACCCGTACTCCTCCTCTGGCGGGGCCGCGACAGCACCCCCAGCCGCCGCCGCCGTGGCCCTCGCTGCTGTTCCCCCCGCAGGTGACGAAGGTAGTTCTGTCGGCATCCCATCTTCCATCGGCGACAGTATCATTAGTAGGACTGGAGAGATGGGGTGCCAGACGACGAGCGGCATTCTAGACCTGTTGCGCTGGTGTACGCCAAGAGTCTTGGACCTGGAAGGGGTGTCTCCTGCGGTCACCGACTCATTGCTACTCAGGTAGGTTGATGTGGGAGTGATTTTTATTTTACGGCCATGTGCGCGGGCTTGAACGAATGCGGAAGAGGTGCTCGCGTGTGTAACGCGATGGGTGTGTGCTGTTCGTGCTTGTCTCGAGAAATTGTTCGCCGGATTTCAGGTAGGACAACAACCACGACCAGACCAACAGGCTACTTTTGGCCTTTGGCTTTCCCTTGGCTAAGCCCCAGGAACGGTAGCCAGCCTCTCCCCATCTACCCACACACCCGACATTGTTTTTCACGGCCTCGGTGCCGCATTTCGCGCCACCTCGCATGCTCGTTAAAGGTACCCAGGAGAGTCGTGCGCGATGCTGGAGGAGGTGTGTCTGGGCTGGTGCCCTCACCTGTTGGAGGTGGAAGCGCTTCTGCTCAAGATCAGGAACGCTGGCGTCGACGGGCAGGTGCAGCAGCTGGGGGGCGATCCTTGACCTCTATGTTGGTGAATCTTTTTCCGTGCACACCCCGGCGTCCCTCTGGAACGGGTGTCCAATTAGGGCGGGGAAGTTCGCCGAATCGATTTGGCTTGAGCGCATGGTTGGCGATGACCGGTGTCCCATGGTTAAATCGTTACTTCTCTGATATCACCCCTTGTACCTGTATCTCTCTCTCCAAGCCCGTGGATTTTCCATGATTGATACGCCGACGGCTGGAGAATTCGTCGTGAAATGCCATGCCCTCGAAAAACACTTGCAGAGTTGGGGAACATAGTCCTGCTTTCAGGAGACGAACGCCTTTGGTATTGAGATGAGGAGACTCGATGGGTGTGACAAGAGCTTTGTTGAAGGTACATGACGTTGCGAACTCCGTTCGAGGCAACAAGCGATGTCCGAAAATCGAGGCAACAAGCAAAGAAATCGAGATCAACCAAGTTTTTTTTTTTTGGGCGCAATCCGGATAAAGTATCCCTTCCGGGAGTACCAACGGTTCCTGGTTTCAAAGCGGACACAGGGTCGACCGTCAAGGACTCTGGAGGTCGGTGATATATACCATGTATCCGAGGGTACTGCTACCTCGCTCAAACCCTGCGATCGTGCGTACACCTAACCTACCAGGGTGGCATGGCATCCCCTCAGTAACATTCTCTGTGGTTCGACGTCCCCGTGCTTATTGCCGCTCAGGAGGACGAGGCTTGCGCTTTGAGAGTTCTAGACGTTGGCGGCAGCGAGGGACTTTCCGACGGCATCTTGAAGGTGAATCGAAATATTTTTTGGGACCGTCGCGGTCGGGTGCTTTAAACACGGACATGAGGTCAACCCGGAAAATCTGGAGAGACGGGCACAACGATCAAGGCCTTATCTTCGTCTACGCTACCCGGAGCACAATGTACTGTCGTTAACAACAGGCAAGACTGGGGCGCCTTTGCTCCACTGCGTGGAAAATCGTTTTTTGACTTGTCGCTGTTTGTTGCCACCGGACGAAACGTGCTCTGAGTGGATGGCAAAGACGAGTGGATTGTGTGCCACCACGTGTGGAGGATCAAGCGCCCCACAAGAACCACCTTCGGTGCAGCCTTCTTTTCCTTCGCTCAGCCCCGCAGTAAGCCTGAGATCACGCCGTCGCCTTCAGTGTGCCCCATGACGGGCAAGCCTTGCGCAACAACCAAGCAACCCGCAGCTTCATGTGTCGGCACCTACGATATCTCCGGTTTCCAGCCTGGGCTAGTACACCCTTCCTTGCACCGCACACTTGGTGTTTTGTTTGCTCGTGACACCGCGTACAGCCGCGTGCAACGGGCCTACTGGTAGAGTTTCGCTGACACCAAGCGCACGCTACCCACCACTTACCTCGTGTTTGGGTTGGAGCTGGCCCCTCTTATCCACCATTGCGACTGCTGTTGTTCGACCTCTTGCCATTGTTGTTCGCTGCGGCGGCGGGTAGGCCCTAGCCGGGAGGTGCCCCGCCCTGTCCACCCTCAAGATCGACGCGTGCCAGGCGGTAACGGGAGCGTTCCTCCCGCGTCTCGCCAAGGGGTGTCCCTCTCTCGCCCAGCTCAGCGCCGACGCCTGCACAGGTGGGGAGAAAAACATGTCCGCCCGGCGCTGTGGTCATTGACTGATGGGTTCTGGTATTCCCCTCGCTGCTTTCATTGTGTAGACAGCCGGAAGGTGCGCCCGCTCCAACGATTGTAGCCAAACGATGCTCGTGCACGTCTAGAAGGCGTGCATGTGATGTACGAGTCGCTTTTTTGCTGGCGTTGTCACTGCTCGCAAACTGTTGCTAGATTTCGGTCCATGGCGCGAGCCTGGCCATGCTGTATCGACGTGGAAGCGGGTGCTTTTCTGCGCTGTGTTGGAAATTTGTCCGAGGTGCTGCCGCCCCGGCGTCACCCACTAGCTCACTTCCGTTCCCCTCAGCCAACATTTTTTATTTTATTAGTTTCACCGTTGTTGCTTTTGGTCGACAAACTGGCCCTGCTCTGTGCTTGGCTTAATGCCACCAACCATGTGGCGCAGGCAGGTGTCGCGTGTTTTTTCTCGCAGCGACGCCTGCACTATCGCGCATCTCGCGTGGCCGCCACGGGGACTGCTCTCGAGCAAGACGGAGCATGCCGTGGCACACGCTACCGCCAAGCCTGACTACGGCCGCTAACTTTTACCTAGCGTAGACTTCTATGTGCAGTCCCTGCTCGACATCATGTGTAACGATGTTCTCTCTGTTTTTTTTTTTTTTTTTGTGAACAGGTATTACAGACGCCGCGGTGTCGAACTTCATCATGGAAAGCGAGGCCGTGGCCTCGGGATCTCTGCACTCGCTCCGCCTGGGTGGCTGTCCAATTGGTTCTCTTACCGCCCAGGTGATGAAGGCTTGATGGATCCTCGATACAGCAGTTAACGCCCGCGTTTAAGGAACGTCAATTTGGGGACGAGGCTCAATTTCTTACTTCGTCACCACGGTCATATAGGTTTTTAGTGTAGGATCCACGGCTGAGGTGTGTTTCTTGGTCGTTTTTTATATTTTGGTAGCCAAGATTGGAAAGTCATTGTTTCTTAAAAGGTTCGTTTCTTATATTGCCGGCGCGACAACTGTAGTACCTGCATCTGATTTGGGTGTATTGCTAGCGTCGGCACTCCGCCGACTATTTGTTTTGCTGCGGAGCCGACGGTTTACTCTCACGGTGCTAAGTTCTGCCGGCAGGGTTTCCAGGTGTACCTGGTGTAAGCGTTGTGTAGGTCGCGGGGTCTGCGATCTCTCAACTCCGTGCTCGGTGCAGCGAGGACGTGTGTCAGGTACATGAGGAACGCTCGCACACCCCTTCCGCCCAGGGGGGCGCCGCCGCGGCACGAACTGGGGTTTCGGTTGCTCATGCCACTGACGAAGACGGGGTCGTTGTTCGACTTTGGACGGGCTGGGTTCCCTCCCGCTCTCCCCGCCTTGTTCACACGCCAAACCCACCGTCTCAGGCCCTTGCACGCTACTGCATGAAGGCGATGTGCACCTGGACAGCAATAACGCCACGCCCTATCGATCTATGGATCGTTGGCTCAAGCGAGTTTCTTGTGCTCCCCCCCCGCGTTTAAAACAGGCGCTGCTGATGCGTGGGTCCTGTCTGCTCGAGCTCAACCTCGACGGCTGCTCTGGGTTCGGGGACGCGGCTGTTCGCATGGTCTGCCGCGCGTGCCCCGGCTTGCTGGAGCTGAGCCTCCTAGGCTGCTCGACGGTGCGCGATTCTTGCTTGCGCGGGGGTGGTGCAGTAGCTCGCTTGACTCGGCCGAACGGGGTGCAGGCAGCGGCGTTGGCTGCTGGCCTAGTGATGCTTGCCGGCGTAGGTGGACTGCTGAGTGTGCTTGCTGTCTCTCAGAACGACGAAGTTTCCTCCCTCCGAAAGGGTTTGTGCTGTAGGACCTTACGTGTTGGCCTGCAACGGAGCTTTTGTCGAGTTTTCTTGCGTCAAAGCATGCGTACCGTCGGTTTTTCTTACTACTGCTGTTCTTTTTCTTTTTTCACCGCTCACAAGATTTTTTCTTCATGTCTTGATAAACATGCGACCTCCCCCACTCCTGTCATGAGAAGCCTCAGCATGTGTTGAAATTATGTACATGACCCCTCCCCCTACCCTCGGCACGCGAACAAACGTTTTTGTCGCAGCTCACCTCCCGCGGCGCTTGGCACTGCGCCCAGCACCCTTCCGTGGAAACCCTGGCGATAACGCTTTCGCTACTGCCAGGCCCCGAGCCAATCCCACCCGCCCCAGAAAAACCGAGGCGACGCGCGGCAGGAGGTGGGGGGGGGCACAGAGGCGACCAGCAGCATCGCGACGCTGAAGGCGAAGCGAGGGCCGCAGCCGGCGTCCGCAACGGCGAGGGGGTAGCGGGGGCGGCGGCCGAGCAGTGGGCGTGCTCTCGGTGTACTCTCCTCAACGCGGAGAGACGGTAGGCGGTGTTTCGGTGGCGTAGGTAGGGACCCGGCTGATAGGACACCAGAACATTAGTGGGAAGACAGGCTGATTCAAGCTGCGGTGCAGCGTGTTTTTGAAAGGGTGAGTAGATCTTACAAGCGGGGTGCTGCTGGCATTTGGTTTCGCCCACGCGAAATGTTGTGGTGGGACTTGCGAGATCTGTTTCGAAACCAGCAGCATCCTGCACGTCTCCGCGCGTCTTCGCTTGTGGTCAATCAAGCGAAGTGTCTTGACAGCACACTTGACAGGAACGGGGCACCATTTCGCGTTGAGGTGACACGTTCCGTAGAAGGTCGATAGATGTTTCCCTCGTTTCCCAACCCGGTCCACGCTGCCAGCTTACCCCCCTTCTCGCTTGCCCCCCGGGTCTCTCTCTCTCTCTCTCTCTCTCTCTCTCTCTCTCTCTCTCTCTCTCTCTCTCTCTCTCTCCGCCCTAGGTCCACATGCCAGGCGTGCCGGACGCCGCGGAGCACCCGCGAACCGCCGACACCCCCCCCACGCCCAGGCACGTCGCCCCCTGCCTCGGGTCCCTTGCCAGTCTCCCCCGGGAGTTCCAACGGAGGCCGACGGCGCCGGGGACGATCGCCGTCCGGGTCGCCGTCGCGGTCACGCTCGCCGGCGGCGCGAAAGACTCCCACCACGCCGGAGTGCGCGCCGTTCCCGCTGCCCGCCGTCCCGCCGTCCGGTCGCCTCCGGCGACTGTGCTTGGAACTCCAACCGGCAGCCGCGGGTGGGCTAGGGGCAGTGCAGGATGATGGGGGTGGAGTGCGGTCGAACCCCAGCAACAGAGCGAGTCCCGCAGCAGCCGCGAGGTGTGCGTTTCCGCTCCGGCGGCTGGCCCCGCTCCTGCCCCCAGGGCTTACCTCTCTCGAAGTCTGGTCTGCCAACGCCCGGCCGGTGCCTCGCTCGGTACAGCGGGACGCGACCAGCGGCGACCGGAAGCGACCGATCGGGCGCAGGCTTGGAAGAAGAGGCGGTAGCAGCAGCGGCGGTGCTTGGCGAATGACCTCAGCGGCAGCAGACGGGGATGGAGAAACTCCGGCCGGGATCGAGGGGGCGGGAAGCAGTAGCGCCAAGGGCGCGGGCAGGGGAAGGCAGAGATCGGGCGGCGGCGGCGGCGATGACGGCGATGACGGCGATGCATCCGAGGGCGTGGCGAGCGGGGTGGCCGTGCTGGCGGGCCCCGGGGACCTGCTGAGCGTGTCGCAGGCTAGCCCGTCCCTGCAGGAGCTCGTCGTTTCTGGAGACCCCGAGCAGGCGGCGGCGGCGGCGGGTCAGTCTCCCTCCGGAGTAAGGTGCGGGTGGGTGTTCGGTGGGAGCGAGAAATGCACACACACACATGCACACGTTCACTTGGACATGAAAACTGGGGACCATCGGTTCGCGATGCGGAATGATCTTTTTCGTATCGAGATCCACGTGTCTTTTTTTTCTTCGTTTTTTGGGGGGGTTTGCGAAGTCGCAGGCGAACGGACTCGTACGGAACTTTCTTTTTCGCGTTCTTGTCCGTGTGTGTGTGTGTGTGTGTGTTGAGGAAGTGTAGGACTGTTGCGTATTGCACCTTCGCTCGTCACAGCAGCCTGCTGGCGCTCAGCAGCCTTTTGACTTCCCGGAAGAAAATACGACGCGGCGCATGTTTCGCGTTTTCTTGAAACATTTTCTTTGCCTCTTGCTCGTTTTTGTTTTCATCGCTCCCCCCCCAAGAATCCGCGGCAGGGGGGCAGACGCCCACACAACCACGGCGACCGCCGGTGTCCACGCCACCGCCGCGGCCATCGCATACTTCCTATCGTGTCTGGGCAGCGCGCCGCCGCCGCCCTCGACCACCGGCGACAACCGCGGCAGTAGCGGTAGCGCCACCAGCGGCGGCGGCGGCGGCGGCGGCGGCGGAGGGTTTTCCAGTTTTGACTCCGCCGGGACGACGCGACCGTCCCCTCCCTCACCGCTCCGATTGCTGGCCATCTTCGACTGCCCTTCCGTTCCCCCCATGGCGGTCCTGGAGGCCCTCGCGGTGCAAGGGGGGGCGGGGCTAGACCACGTCGCCGTCGGCGTTTCCCACCCGCCGCAGGCGCGGGCGCGGGAGGGCGTCGACGCGGCGGGGTTGGGGTTCGGGTTGGGGGATGACGGTGGACGGGTGACCCTCTCGAGCGAGACCCTGAAAAACCTGCACGTGTCCGGGGAAGCCGCGCTGGGTGCGGTGGCGCTCCGGTGCCCTCGCCTCGAGGGGGTGGAGTTCGTGAACTGTCCGCGGCTGGGGTAAGCGAGCGTTCCTCGGTGCTAGACAGGGAAGTTGTTGTAGGGTGCTGTGGTGTGGGCTGGAACGGCCGGGGACGCTTCTTGCTTCTGGAAGCGTGATAGCTTTGCGTGTCAGCAGGCGCGCAATGTCCGCCATCTACCGTGTTTCCGTTCCGCGTGTGGCACTTCCCGTCGTAAAGTAGCTTGTCCATGTCTACGTGTCACCAGGCGCACAAGGTCCGTCCTCCACAATGTTTCCACGGCAGAGAAGATCCGGTATTGGCTCTGGGGATTACTTTGCAAACCCTTTCCTCCTCGCTGGCTGGACCTCTTGTACCTCTTGCGCTTTTGCCGTGGTTTCCGTCCTTGTTCCTCCCCCCCATCTACGATTGGCCATCGGTGATCAGTCCTGTGACAACAATGCTCCGTCCACTCGGGGACGCGTGGTCAATGGTCTAACCACAAAGGCATGCAAAACATTATGATACCCCCCCGACCCATATCTCTCTCGAAATGCCCTTCGTCTGTATGCCAGGGGCTGGCCCGCCTACCCCTGGCCCGCCATTGGCCCTGCCTGAACCCCTGGCACATGAAACTCTGCGTTATTTGACCGCCACCCGATTCTGAGCTCCCCCGTTATGTTGACATCGTTCTGGCGCCGTAACAGCGAGGTGGAGGTCACCGCCACTCCTTATTTAGTGGCTGCACGGGTGCAGAACTGCGGGGTTGGGAGCGGGTGAGAAAATTTGCCCATTTGAGACCGGCATGTTTTCTAATCTTCTCCTTCTTTGAAAAAGTTTCTGTTCTCCTGCTCGAAAACCGGTGGCTTTGTTGTTTTGTGTTGTTGTTGTTGTTTTCGTTTATGCTGTCGGCACTTGAAGAAATGAAGATTGACGTCCTCAAAAGTGAGGGCTTGTTTTGAATTGCCTCGAGGGGGGAAAATGGTTGTGTTTTTTTTCCAGCCCGACTCCTTTTGATTTTCTTCCCCGCTGCCCCGATGGGACCATCGCCTTTCGTCATCAATGCGTGTTGTTGTACTCGCCCCTCACAGAGGATTGTTGCAGTGGAAGATGACCGCAGCATTAAACCCTTCTCCTCCCGAGTACAGAGCGTATATGAAGCTGCCATCGTTGTCGCTTTCTCAGGAGACATGATGTGTAACGATATCTCGAAGGAAGGTGGTATGACCCGGTCCCGCCGCACATGCGGAACTAGACGAGATGTAACGCGTTTGGCGCGGGTGGTGGAAAGAATATAGCGCCACTCGGCGCTTGGTTTGACCCGAGAGCTTCATCCATAGGTATAGAAGGTGTACTACCGCTGACATAGTTTCGGATCGCCATGACGAGGATGACATTCGACGTGAACGCCGAGCAGCAACACGATGGAACCGTGGACCAGCACACCGCACGAGACTGCCTCCAAAATCGCATGAGCTGCCTGTAGGAATCGGTTTGGGGGGAGGTGTGATTCCCTGACTTGTTTCGAGTGCGCCTACAATTTACACACTTGCTAAAGCGCGCATGTGTACAATATGCAATCGCACCACGTACGCTCACGTCCCTGCTCCTTCCCCGCCAATGGTGTGTGCTCTTTCGGCAGCGCACTCGTGGGCCTCACGAAAGCTTGCAGGAGACTAGAGACCCTCGACGTTTCCGGGTCGTCTGCGGTAGGGGACCAGGTGAGCCAGCCCCCGACGTGACACAGGCGCCGCTAACAGAGACCCGACAGCGTAGAGGTGCACGGCCTAGGTGCTCCGCTGGCGTGGTCCGTCTTTTGCCGCCTGCAGTTCCAAGCGTACGTAGTGGCTTCCACCGTCACCAAATGGTCGCAAGAACTGGTTTGGATATGGTATACCTTGAACTTTTACGGGCGATATTCACACACCAGCGGTGTTAGCAGCTGAAGTTTAGTCTTCGATGTAGCCGCCCTAGGTTGCCTGCCGTTCGGGGGATCTGGCTCGTCGCTATCGAATTTTGATCAAAACGATTTGATTTGAGGTCAAGTCGTCGCGCTCTCGCTGACGTTTTTGGTTATTTTTCCCCATTTGTTTTCCCCATGACGCTGCTGACCATGGGAGTGTGCACTAGGTACTGTTATCGGCACTGGTGGGGTGTCCCCGCCTGAAGACGCTGCGAGCGAACGGGTAAGCTCGTTGCCGCAGCCTGTGTGTAGAGGACTGATCGAGAGGGCAGAACGAGCGTTTGTCGCTCGTTAGGACAAGACAGTAGTTGCTTCTCTGGAAGGCAGGCCGGGCTCTCACGGGTTGCACAATCTTGCCGTGAGACAACGCCCGTGCCCCCCACGCTTCGAATCCAGCCACGCCGCCGTATATCGCTGTTGCCTCTAGTTCCCAACGCATTGTCTACCCTGGGATGCGCACGCCAACTGGCCTGGCAGGCACCCCTGGTAAGGCCGAGAGCATGATTTTGAGCATGGTCTGTTTATTCCCCAATTCGCGAACAGAGACAACCCTGGTCACCCCCCCCCCCCCCCCCGGTCTGCCCCATTGCCGTCCTCTCTCTCCCCGCTGTTTTCGCCCGCTCCAGATGCCGCGACGTCGGAGGGAGCCCCCTTCTCCTCCCGTTCCTTCTCTCCCCGACCGCCGCCGCACCACCACCACCACCTACTACTACCCCCCTGCCGCCGCTTCTCTGTCGCCTCGAAGCGATTGCGGTGTCCCACGCGCCCGGCCTGACGGGTGCGCACCTGGCGGCGCTGGCGGGGGCCCTGCCTCTCTTGCGGCGCCTTTCGGTGTCCCACTGCCGCGGCCTGATCGAAGTCGCGGCGTCTTCCGGCCGCAGCGGGGACGGTGTCACCGGGGTGGTCCACGGCGGCGGCGGCGGCGGCGGGGGCCGGGGAGGTGGTCCGGAGGGGTGTGGGTTTGGCGACACCGATAGAGTCGACCCCGGGCGTGGGGCACGGGTGTGCATTGCTTCGGGGGGGGAGGAAGATGGCGAGGACGAAGACCGGGAGGAACGCTTGAAGACGGAGACGGCCGTCGAGAACGACGGGGCTGTATCGGTAGAAGGAGACGAGACGGGCGGCGGCGGCGGCGCTGGCGGCGACGGGAGAGCCACACGATCCAACGGAGGTGATGAGGGCCGCAGTGAGAGCAGTCTTGCAAAGGGGAAGGGAACGAAGCGGAGGCAGCGGAGGCTCGAGGATGCCCAGCAGCGAGCGGGAGCCAACAGCGAGGGCGCGGGCGAACGCCGCGAGAGGTCCGCCGTTGCCTCCGCCGCCGACTGCGACACTCACGACCACGACAACGGCAGCAACACCGCCGCCACCGCAAGTGGCGACGAAAGCGGTCGCCGTTTCACCGGCGATGAGAACGTCGCAGCGACCAACAGCGGCGGTGGCAGGGGCGAGCCGAGGTTATCGCGGAAAGATGCCCGCGCGGCCGCGAAGAAGAAGCAGGGGGCGGCGGCCCGCCACCAAGGCCGCGCTGCCGGCGCCGGCGATGCGCGAGACGCCCCTGCCGCGGAACCGATAGCAGCGGGCGAGGGGCGGGGCGGGAGGGGCAAGCGTGGCGGCGGGAAGAGGGGGCAAGGCGACGAGGACGACGATTACGGCGGGGACGGGGGGGATGTCTGCCAGGGCTTGGAGTTCAGGGTGGACGGCAAGACGCGGGATAAGCTGGAGCGCTTGGCGGCGGCTCTTCCAAGGTGTGGCTTGCTTCCGTCCCTCTCTGTCTCTCTTACCTCTTTCGCTCCGCCTCTCGCCTTCGCTCTGTTTCACTCTCGCCCTGTCTTGTCAGCACCCACACCAATAAGATCTGCGGAAGGGCCCTTTTTTTTTTTTGTGCGTGTGTGTGTGTGGTGAGCCCGTCTTTGTGCGCGCGTGTAAATATGTTTACGTGAGCCCGAGCCGGTTCTATTTCCCATTCTTCACTATTTGGGTATCGTGCCTGAGCAAGACGAGAGAACAGACTTGCCCGTACACTGCTGTGACTGAAGGAGCGTTTTAGGCGGCGATCATTGTCTCTCCAACAGAGAACCAAGAAGCGAAAACATGGTGAAACCCTTGCCCACTTTCGCAAGCGCGTTGTTTTCGAGGAAGCAACGGTTTTGCTGTTCATTTTCCTGTGCTTGCCAAATATTTTCTCCTGTGCCTGCTAGTTGTGTCCCCGTGCTCACCATTGTCCATGTCCTCGCCCTGTTCAATTTGCGCCGTCGTGCAGGGAGCCCGGCAGGAAGAAGATGGGCAGGCCCTCCTGCATCCGGTTCCTTCAGGACAAGTGCCCGAACTCGGCGCGGGACTGCTCCTGGGCCCACCTCCCCATGCACGTGCGTTCGCTGTTGTAGGCACACGGTGCTATTTTCTGATGCCGCTGTTCGCTTTCGTTGTTGCCTTTTTCGAGTTGTGGCGATCTTTGTGTGTGTGTGTTTTGCGGTTTTCCAGCACGCCCTCGTTGTAATCATATCTCCCCCTTTGTCGCAGTCAATGAGCGACTTTCTTACGGTTCCTCCATAATCGATATATATGTGTTGCTTGTGTTTTTGTTTTGGGTATTTTTGGGAACGCAATGTTAGAGCTGGACCCCGCTTTTGGAATGGCACCGGCGCTGTTATTTTTCGTCATGTGCGTGTAGTCGGTATTGGCCAAATCGTACATCTGTGGGCCTCTCCTTGCCAGCGACCCATTCCCCCCGGTCGATGTCCCCTGGCGAACTCTTACCAATTTTGCTGCGACAACTTTTACTTTCCCACCGCTCTTCCACCGTCGTTTTCGCGACAACGTTTTTCATGTACATACGTGTTCAATTGGGGAAGCAGCCGTGGCCCACGGCACCCGATTTTCATCCGCTTCCTTCATTTTCTCCTGCAATTTCGAAGAAACAATTCTGTCCATCCGCGAAAAGCAAGAGGCCTAGCTATTTCTTACCTTTTTTTTTCCCTTCTCGTTGCATGTGTGCGATGAATTGTCGGCCCGTCGGTGTCTCACCCAGCCTCCCAAGACCCTCAAGTTTAAGCCTCTCGTCACGCACGCGCAAGAGCCCGTGTCTGCGTCCTCATCGTCCACGAAGCGGAACGTGTCGTCGTCACGATCCCAGCCACCTCCTCCGCCCCCGCAAGCGTTGGCTGCGAGCCGCTCGAGGTCGCCTCGAAGTCGCCGCCCGGATGGCGGCCGTTGCGGCGGAAATGGTGCCGGTTCGTCGGCAACCGTGTTCGAAGCTGCGGCAGGAAGGGGGGAAAGAGCCGGGGTCGGAGGAGGAGGGGGAGGAGGAGGGAGAGGGTTTGAACGGGCAGGGGGAACGGCAGGCTTTGAGTCAAGAAGAGATGGCAGTCGTGGTGGTGACGGGAGTGCTCCGGAGGTTTGCTTCAAGAACCTTCAGGTGTGAAAGTTTGTTGAACCTACAGGTGTGAAAGTTTGTTGAACCTACAGGTGTAAAGGTTGTTGAACCTACAAGTGTAAAGTTTGTTGAACCTACAGGTGTGAAAGTTTGTCGCGGCATCGTGCTTGCTTGCTTTCTAAGCTTGGTCATTCGTCTTCCTTCGAGCGCAAAGTGCCAATGGTACAAATTATTGGTGTTCATCTCGATGTGAACGACGACATACCATACAAACTCATGAAACAGATCGCGCTATCTATGTCACCAACCAAACGTTGCTACTACTATAGGCACGTCGTTGGCTCGAGAGTACGCAGCACGCGCGTGCTTCCCTCTCACAAACTGCCCTTGTCCTTAATAGCAGGCGCCTTCGCCTTGACTACCAACACCTTCTGCCGCTCATGCTGCTTACACGGGAGCGGCAGGACAGCCCGCACCGTCTTGACTCCACACGCAGTGTTAAGAACAGCCCTTATCTGTTTGACGGGTTTGTTCGGGAGCTTTCTTTCACTGCCGGATGTAGCGCGGCCGTCCGCGGAGAGTAACGAAAGCAGATTATGGGCCGAAAGGCAAACAAGTCACGGGAAAAGAGCAGCTCTTTGCCGGTTGACCGTGTGGGGCGTGAACGTCTTGCGTTTGTCGCCGCAGACTGCGGCGCCACATTCAATGGAAAACGAGAGCTCTTCAGCTTGAATGCCACGCTCAGAGTCGAGATGGGGTCGCGGGCTGTGGTGTCCCTCCCGTGTAAACAACTTGGCCGGCGGAAGGTGTTAGTCACTCTCGATCTCAAGTGCTGTGTTGTTTTCTAGAAGATGCCGTGCAGTCCCTCGGAAGTGGCGCGGCCGTCCATATAGAGGAACATAAGCCTTTCAAACGCGTAAGGTGAACATACGGTGAACACACGGTGGACAAAGATCAGCTCATTGCCCGTTGTCGGTTTACCGTACGGCGCTTGAAATTCTTGTCGTTGTCTGGATGGACTGCCGCACCACATCCGAGGGATTGCCATACCTCTTCAGCCGCAATGCTGCGTGCGGCGTTGAGAGGTGGTTGCGGGCGGTCCTGGCCCTCCCGTGTAAAGAATTAGCGGGAAAATTGTTATGTCAATCTCGATTCCACTCGCAGTATCATAGAAAAACAGCTCTCGTGAAGAGAAACAAAAACAGTTCAAGCCCCCGGGGGGGGGTACGGACTCTCCTTCCCCCTCCCTCCGGGTGGTGTTTCCCCTCCCTCCCTCCGGGTGGTGTTTCGAGAAGACCCCGCAACCGCTAGAGGCTCATACACCACGAACATCCGTGGGGTCTCATCTCGTCAAGATTACCTGGCCTGTGTCGGGAGTACCGGAGTCTGGTAAAGCGATATGTTGCTGATAGATACCCAAACAGGTCTTGTTCGAAAAATGTACCAGTAGTTGCTTTGGAGAGGCAGGAGGATCACTGCGCCCTCCTCGCGATCCTTTCGAAGGCATGCGGACCGCTGAAAGAGGGGGGGGGGAGGACCCACGGAGAGAAAGTTGTCCGTGTGTCCCACCTGTGACCATAGCAGAGAGAAACTACTGGACCGGCGAAGTATAGAGTAACAGCACCAATCGTTCAGAAGTATATATGTAAATCAGAACAATTCCTTCAACGCACCCCGATGTGTCGCCACCCCCTGGCTGTCCCTCGTTGTCCCTTTCCCCTCTTGCTTTTTATTTTTTAAGTTTCTGGAGATTCACTCCTGCCCCGGGTTGAAACGCCTGGAGGGCATTAGGTGTCCGGCCCTCGCCGTGGCCCGGGTGACCGCCTGCCGCGAGCTGAGCTCCCTGGGGCTTGAGGAGGCTTTCGTCTTGAGCGACCTGGACCTCGCCGGCTGCGTTCGCCTCGAGTCGTGGGAGCTTCCGCCGCCTGCGCCCCCTGGCGGCAATGCGGCATCCTCGGGCGTCGCTAGTTCTGCCAGTCTTGCGGAGTTGCGGGTACGATCGCCCTCATGTATGCCGAATGAACACTTAAAAAAATCACCATGTGTGCACACGTTTTCAGCTAGTCGTATCTGTAGATGCACCTGGAGGTCGGATTCAAGGTTATGCGGCGAAGCTCTGTGTGTCGAACGCTTCAAAAATGGATGCTTGCGAACGTTTTCAGCGAGTTGTATGCCTGGAAGGCTCTCTTCGGGTTCAAGATTCACTCGACGGAATCCTGTACACTGCACACTTCCAAGGAAAACATATGCTCGCAAGTTTTTGGCGAGTCGTGTTTAGATAGTTTACCTGCATCGCTTTCTGCGGGTTCTCATGACTTTGTGCGGCGGAATACGTACCGCGAGACCCTTCCGTCCCGTCGCTCTTGTTGTCGGGCAAGCGGACATCGCCCTCCCTTGTTGTTGGACGGCTCTGCCCGTCCAATCAGAGGAAAACTGAAGCGTGGCCGGGTTCTTGCATCCTGATCCCCCCGCACCCCCGCACCCACAATTAGCCACTTTGATGCTCACGTTGTTTTCTTTTTTCGTTTGCACTTACCCGGCAGGTGGTGGTGCTAAACTACTGCCGGGGTTTGCAGGCCAAGTTTCTGGCCAAACTGGTCGACCACGCGAAGCACCTGCGGAGACTAGAGATATATGGTAAGCACGGGGGTAGCAGTATTGCGAACCAGGCCCGGGATTGCGCCTCCACTGTATGTAGAACAAGGTGTTCTTGTAGCGCTGTGTTGGACGCTAACCGTCTGTACGTGGGAAGGACAGAACATTATTGATGACGTCGTTCGGAGAATCCAGGTGGAACAGACGAGTGGCGAAACCTACTAGTAGAACATCCACTGCTGTGTTGCGCGCGAGAGATGCATCGCATGCGCATGAACTTCGAAGAGGTAAATACATATGCATACATTCCGTATATTGTGGTGCGGTTCCGTGCATGCACCATGTCCTCCGCATATGGATGCGCCATGTCCTTTAGTAGACTTCTGTTCGAGTATGTATGACGACGTGATTGTTAAAATGAACAGGCTAGCCGCCTTTGTACGGCCTGATAGTACTCGAATTTTGTACCTTTTACCCACGCCGAGAAAAAGCTAAGCGTTGGCTTGGTGCGTGCTTGTTTTGCTCCGCTTTCTTGGTGGATTTCCTTTTTTTCGCGAATGCGTGAATACCCGCACGCTCCCTACGGACTTGGTCCTTTTTTCGGCTGTGTGGCGGCTGTGTGGCAGGCGCTGCAGCGGTCGTTGGTCCGCATCCGCACGGCGGCAGCTCGAGCAAGACAAAGAAGGAGCAGACCGCGGGGAAGAGAGATCTCAGGTACGTAAGACGGACACGCGTCCTGTTCGGCGCAGGAGGTACCAAACTAAGGGGAGATCGACTTGTACGCAGGTTGTTCTTTTTGCTGTTGCTGCGTTGCTGCTGCTGCTGCTGACCGTGCCGTCGTTGTTGTTGCTGAATGGTATTGTCGGCTATGGTACCGTGGTTGATGAGGCTGCTCTAGGATGTGTGGGAATTTGTTCAGAAGTTTGCGACTAACGTGAACCGTTGCCCCGTTCCTGACTTCGTATGAACCACATTGGTCTGCCCACGCTCCCTCACAGTTTTCCCAAGCAATATTTGTACAACTTGATCGTGCCGCCGATAACGCGTGTGACTTTCTTGTGTGTTTCTCGTAGTCACCTTGAATGTCGGCAACGGCAGACCGAGTGGCACGTGATGAACTCCCTCAATATCGCACACTAGCGACGGAGTCGAGCCTTGCACCGTGTGTATGAAGGCATGTACGAGACGCAGTACAAGTTTTCAGTTACACGCAAAGCCTGTAATCACCTCTGGAGGCGGCCGCACCGACAAGAAATATACCGTTGCGCTACCAGCTGTCCTCCTCGAGACATATGAATCAGCCTCGAGGCCGTTTTGTCGTTCGACCCTTGCAGACCCCCTCAAGGGGGGACGCGGATGGCACACGGCGCGAGTCCGGTCGGCGAAGCTTCGGATTTGGCTTGTCCCTTGTGTAGGAAGAATACAGGGTATATGGACTACGACATGCGTGATTTATGATCTTGTCTCCCAACCCCCCCCCTCCCCGTGATGTTGTTGACAGCCGCGTGGAGTTCAACCGGTTGGCGGGGAAGGCGACGGCCATCCTCAAGGGTCTTGACAAGGGTCGCCCGAAGCTCGTAGTCGTGCGGTGAGTCTTGCTGGTTTCTTTTCGGCATTTTGGTTTTTCGTGCCGGCCGTGTGACGACCATTAGTTGCTACGCAGCTTCGTTCGAAAACGTACGGTACGCAACACACGGATAGGCTACTCGGTCAGTTAGAATTACCCGAGAGGATAGACTTGCCACATTCTCTCGCCCTTGCGTCGTATTCATGCACTTGGTGCGAAACATCCCCTCCCCCCCCCCGCCGCGCATCAACACCGATGCAGAGCACCGTAGATAGCAGTTTTCCAATGTGAAATTCGGCCTTGACGCACATGTCATGTGGCGCCCGGGTTATCGCTCTTCGGATCGGATTCGTTCATCTTCAGGGCCGAGCGAGAGGTTGCGTTTTCTGTTTTCGTTGATGCTCTTCATATTGCAGCGGTTATGCCGTTTGCGTCTGTTGGACCGTACTCGTCTCGTGAACTCGCATTCGGAGACAGACACCACGGTTTGTACGCCAGAATAACATGTTGCCGGGACCCCCGGGGGTTGCTCTCTGTGACCCTGCCGCTTGCGCGGGGAGGCAAATCTCATTGTCGGTCCCCTCTCTTGCGCTCTAACGAACAACCTTGCCGTTTCGATCAGCGAATCAATCACCTACCGCCACCACAGCAAACACTTGTTGCTGTTCAACTCCGCCTGCTCGCAACAACCCTCATTCGCAGGACGAAAAAGGAGTTCCTACGGGAGCAAGAGGGTGCTCGGGAGGGTGGAAATTAGAGTGGTAGGTCTGCGGGGGAAACGGGGGGCGTGTGGCGGGGTTCCTGACGTCCTGCTCAAAACAGGGTTTTAAAGTCAAATCCTGGTCGATCGTTTGTTTTATTGTTGTTGTTGTTGTCTTCACATTAAAAACCGTTCCGATCTCTCTCTACCCAGTGTGTGGTATATTGAAACCAATATAGACTATTTTGTTTTGTATGGGATTTAGTGTAGTAGACATTAACCTCTTGGCGGGAGCAAGAGGGTGCTCCGGGGTTGGGTTTTAGGGTGGTAGGCGTGCAGTTCTCTTGCGGCGGAACTTGTTCCTCTTGGGCGGGGCCGTCGAACCCACCGGCGGTGTTTTTTCTCGGTGATCGATTCTGCTTGCCATCTGATCCCGACTTTTTTTCACTCGGTGTGCGTCTTTGTCGCATTTCGGCGATAAGAACATGATGTTCGCACGATTTGGGTACCCCCTTCGCGAATAGATGCGCAGATTACGACGGGGTCTGTGCCTGATGAGGGGAAGGCTACCGACCGGGGTGTGAGTTAAGGGAAATGGAAAATGCCCCCACCGACCATACAGAGGGTGAAAGGTTCGTGTTCCCTGCTGAGAAGCAATGACTGTTGTAGTCCAGTGGTCATCGTGCTTTTCACCAAAAGGTAGTGCCGGGGTCTGCCTACATATAGCTGTGAATCCACGGACTCGGTGTTCACCCCCAGGGATGTCATCCCTGGGGGTGAGGACTCCGACTTCGGGTACATTGCCTACGAGTCAACATCCCGCAAGCCTTCGTCCCTGTGCAGAGCCGCTTGATGGGTCACGCGATTGGTTCTTGACACGAGAGATCCGCGGTGATGTACGGTACGGCACGTTACAACTTGTTACCGTGGAGGTTAGTGGAGGCTCTATTGTTGCAGCCGGTTTGTAGCAATCTCCTCGTTCGAGTAACCTTGCAAGATACTGTACGTACGTACTGCAGTACTTCGATGAAAGCAATCCTCTGGTGTTTGGTCTGCCTATTCACACAGCTATATTGTTATCGACCAATAAAACACGAAAAAAACGGAATTGTGTTTTCTTGAACATATAAAAATGCCATTGACAATCGAGGCCAGTTCAGCGAGGAGGGCAGAATTTGCAAGCGGGTGAACGGGCAAATCGTGCCCGCTTCAATTAAAAAAGGTCATGCAAGAATGAACTCTTCAGTATGAAATGAATGGCAGCACCACCACGCAAACTCACTGCTGTCCGACGACATCACACCAGTGGCAATGAATTCTGTAATAATTACCATAATCTTTGCATAGGCCAGTTTCGCGAAGAGGGAAGAAATGTCCAAAGGGGATGGTAGGGCAAACATATATGCAGAGATGCAGTCCATGAAATATATATGGGGTGTTTGATTTAATTAATTGTTTTTCGGTTTGGGGAGTACGTATGGAGGCGTTTTTCCCCGAAAGCGTTAAAAGAAGGAGTCGGGTTTTTTTGGGGCTTGCTACTTTCACGAATCCGTGTTTTTGACAGAAGCATCGGACAAGCGCACCGCGGGCGCTGTAACATCACTGAGAACGCTAGAAAGACCTGTCAGACTCACATCCAGGTCTGTTGTGGAGATGGACAAGCGGCAGAAGCGGCGTTCAGTCCGTTCTTGGCCCAAAACTAGGCATTGTGTGGTGCTCTCGTCTTCAACTGCTGCTGTTGGTGCTGGGGGATTTTTTTCAATCACACATAGCAAAGACGGAAACAGTAGAACGAGTACAGCAGCAGCACCAAGACCTCCAACGCGCTGATTCCTTCGGTTCGGCTGTCTATATGATACCATCTCCCGGCGCCGTGCTGCTTCGTGGATATTGGGTGCTTGGGTGCTGCTCAAAAAAGTGTGTGAGAGACGTGTGCCACCTCACCAAAATGCCGTTGGAAAAAATGCGGCGAGATGATACGTTTTCGGTCGGACGCATCAACATCAATCCACGGCACCACGCAGCAGTAGAGCAACAGGGCCTCCGACACGCTAATTCTTTCGGATTGTCCATCTATATGATGCTGGCCGTCAGCACGGCTGCCGCCCTATGATTGTTGAGCTCGTCTACCTTTGGGCAGGTGGTGGTCAAGGATGGGAGTCGCAACCGTGAAAAATGAGCTGGCAAACTGAAGAAATCGCAAGCAACACCCAGGTGGCGACACTCTGCCCTGCGCCTGTTGTTGCTGAAAACTGAAAACAGCAGGCCAGGTGGACGGGATCTTTCTAAGTGTGTTGTCCTCTGTGTCGGGTGCTGCTCATTGCGCTTTCAACGCTGCTCTATGGTGAGAAATACCATGTCAACCTGTTGTGTGTCGAGAAAAACGTGTATTCAGGGAAGGAAACGTACTTTTGGCGATGACATCACGAATAATAGAACAAGCGAAAAATAAATATTTTAGGCGATTCGACGAGGGCCGCACTTTCGCTGCGAGGTCCGAATGTCTGAAAGTGCCGGTCACGGGTGCATCTAGACCCCAAGATGCACATTAATCTAGACTAGGGTAGCATCCCATTTTGAGATCTTTTGGTTCCACGTGCAAGTGCTGCTGCTGTTGTTGCATGTGTATATGCGCGCGTGGGGGGGCGAGGGGTTGGGGTGGAAGTGAAACGTTCGACAATCCGATTTGTTTGGGGAGAGGTGTCGAGATGTGTGCAGTACACTGCTTGTACACGCAGCAGACTATAGACTGGACTTTACGACACATGTGTGCCAGATGGACTTGTCTCTGCTTGCGTTGTGAAGTACCAAGATTGAACCAAGGGAGTGTGCCTCTTTCTCTCCGGCCCATGATAGATAGTGACTGCTAATCTCAGTTGATACCCCGCATAGCGTGAAGAGGGAGCGGAGGATCCCAGAATATCTGTCGTTGATTTCTATTGACTTGCGGACCCCTCGGGGCCAGTTTATTTGAATGTACCTTTTTAGGGTAAGTTAACCTGTGACCACGGGAATCGACCGCGTCAAATGTTGGATCAGTACGGACATACGAAGGTACTGGGTAGAGAGAGATCGGAACGGTTTTTAATGTGAAGACAATAACAACAACAACAATGCCTACTGTATGGCGCTGCTGCTGTATCGTCCGCGGCGTTGTATTATTGCACGGTGGCGACCACACGGAGAAAATACCCCTCAGACGTTTCATATCTATCTGCGCCCCCCGATCAACCTGAAAAAAAACCAGTAGTTTCTGCATTCTCTTAGTGACTCTTCCTATCTAACGGCTTTTACGCCCTCTGGCGCAGCCGCGTTCTCGACCAGTTCGCGGCCGCTAGGCCGTGCTTTGGCCGTGGGTGAGGGTTAGGGTTAGGGTAGATGTGGGGTGAGGAACCTAGCCTTGCTCGCGTGAGGAACCTAGCCTTGCAAAGTGCAACATCGGTTAGTCCTAAATAAAGAGTCACTAACAGAGTGTAAATAGACCTAAAAACTGTAAAAAGTCAGTCTAGTCTACAGTACATTATGGGTCTACGGTCACTGATACATAGATAGTATGTACCACATATCAGCCTACCGCCCGACGACGAAGGTCCCGCACAACAACACGAAGACGACCGTAAGGAGACAAACCAGCTGGACTACAGCAGTAAACTGCTGATGATTATATGCTGTTGAGAACTTGCCTCGAATAGTGCAGCGCGCGCAAATGGTTGGTACATTATCTGTGCCCCACAGACAAACCTACAGCAGCACGCGAGCCATCAACAAAGCACTAAGAAAAGGGCGGTGAGCGATGGAGCGATGTCGATGTCGGCCGACTGGATCGAGCCTACAAAATAAGAACAGAGCTCTGACAAACGATTTGTAGGGGAAAAAAAAAGCATCGTGTTATTATAATAAATGTTCTGAATTTTTTCTTCCCGCTTGAACAGATGTCCTTCCTTCCGGAGGTAGGTGTGCTTTTTATTGCGAGGAGAGGAGGGTTGTGTGGTGTCGGTCTTGAGTGTTAACGCCATCCACCAGACAAGCATTCCTCGATCACGTGCACATCCCTACCGCGGGATATACATAGAGCAGCAGATGCATTGATGCACTCGAGGGAGAGAGAGAGAGAGAGAGAGAGACGGAAACCACCCGGCCTAATACCACCGCCGGCCGATGGCGGGTCTTCCAGTGGTTCTTTCACGCCGCACAACAAGTAGTAAGTATTGTTGTTGTTGTTGTTGTTGTTGTTGTTGTTGTTGTTGTTGTTGTTGTCTTCACATTAAAAACCGTCCCCATCTCTCTCTACCCAAGTATAAAATCCAGTGATTTGTGATGACGAACCCATTAATGCCAGAGCAACAAAAGTACAAACTACGCGCCGCCAGAGTCTAAAAATTAAGACAAAATATGAATCACTCATAAATAAAGACTACAGCATTTTCCCCTCTCCCCGGAACGGTCCTCGTACAAGTACGCATTACGGAATTTACGGTCCTCGGTTGTTCGTCCCTGCCCTCCTCCGCCATTCCTCCGCGTTGTCCTGCCGCGCCGTGCCTCTCGCCTCTCACTCTCCCTCGAAAGTTCACCGCACACTCCGTAGAGAGAGGGCAGCAGCCGGGATCTACCCGAGCTTTCGCGTGCGAGGACAAGCCCACCCACCGGCTCCGTGATTGCGCGCCGTGCTCAACAGGACACCGGTGGTTGTTGCATCCGGAGGGATAATGTGAGTACACCATAAAAAAAAGCAAGCCCAAAAGAGTGCACCTCCTATTTTTCCTTCTTGAGAGTTGCACAAAAACCGTTTCTCGTGGAGAAGGGGGAGGAGAGAGCAGCGACCGTCCCCACTCCGTTCCCCTCGAGACGAGAGCTCGTCAGAGCGGGACTTGAAGGGACGGCGGCTGACGTACGCAAAGACCACCACGATGCCTTGTCAGGGTGGGTGTTTAGGGCGGGACCATGTCTTATCACGCAGGTGTGCTTGGCGTTCGGAAGTAGTGGTGGGTATCCCAAAGCGCACCGCTTTCCTGTGTGTTCTTGACTTGCATCGGCTACACAGAGGTATGTAGTTGCCGTGCGTCTCGCCAAGCCAGAAGAGAGAAAACATCAGGGCAGCCAAAACAGAACGGCTCGAGCGCACCCTCCTTATTATCCTTTCATCCCTTCCCTGTTTGTGTGACGGGAGCGCAATAAATAGCTCCGGAAATTTCGACCGTTCTCTCTTTTCCGAACACGAAATGTTTCTTGCAGTTTCAGACAGACGCGAGAACGGTTACATACATACGGCTCCGGCCGTTTTCGCGCTGGCCTGAACCTCCTTTTCCGGTGCATGCGGTGCTTGTGCTCACAGTTGTTGAGTCACTAGGCTCTGCCGTCGACACCGGGTTTTCTTCCCCGTTGCCGAAGCTCACTTGAATCTTCAATCCTCCCCCTACTGTAATTTACATGTACAGTCGTTCGCGTCCTCTATTTGGTCTGCATACGGCAGTTGAATCCACATTGCACACGAATTGAACCGCCGATTATAAGAAATCATCTCGAAACGAACGTTGCGGGGGCGTGATTGATGACTGCCACCAGTCGGTAGAGCATGAAACCGGCGCAACCAACCCACCTCTGCTGCTCTGTCTTGCAGCTCAGCCCTCTGATTTCCCCAATTTTTGCCATGACGCGCTGTAAAACGTTTCCAGCGATCGAGCGCTGTACCGGGTTTCTTCAACCATCTTATTTTGAAGGTAGCTGGGAAATGGCGGCAGCTTCATCCTCTACTGGCACGACGTGCACAGAACCGGAACACGGTGAGTGAACGAAAGCGTCACCCCGTCTATGATGCTTTTGTGGGGGGGATGGGGCTTTGGCGGATCTATTGGGCATTGCCTGGGACATGTACTGTAGGTGGATGCCCATGGAAGTTTCCCCGGAGATGTCCGTCGGGGAGATGCCCGCTACAATCTCTTTCGTCCATGGACATGCATGGGCTCGTCGGTAACCGTCCATGGATGTACCCGAGAACCGGTCCGTGGACGTGTCCCATGGGCATGCGAACCCTTGTCGCCCCATGTACTCTTCGCCACAGTGCAGGGAAGGCTCGCCCATGAATATACACCCGGGGGCGTTGCCTTAGGATATACCGTAGGATGCGAGAGAGAACTCACCGTTTGGTGATATCGCACGTACCGGTGATATCGCATAAAAATCCAAGAGCCAATCGATTTATTTCGATTATCGCACAGGGTTCGGTGATATCGTGCGGGGGGGTGCCATATCACCGATACCGAGCCCCGATTGGCTCCGGGGCTGCCAGACACCTCCGTGCGATGAAAAACCAAGAACGAAATCATTTCGTTCGATATCGCACGGACCGGTGATATCGCACTGGCTGTGCTAAGAAGTCAAGAACCAAATCATTGTAACATCGATCGCACCCCCGTGCGTTCTCTCCCATCCTTACGGTAGATATCGCGGCACATGAAGCAGCAGTAGTGGATGCGATTTTCGTGAACCACAGGGTTAGTCGAGAGTGTTGGCGAGCGCGATTTTTGTAGCCCACGGATTTGCCACGAAGTCGCCGCTGTACTAAATAGCGCGTGAGTTACTCTGCGATACCACCAAACAGATTGTTTTCACGTTTGGCACTGCGATGCGTAGACGACGAGCTCTGAGCCGCGAAACCGCGAAACCAAGGAACTGGGAACGATGGACGGCATGAGGAACACCCACTCGTCGTCGCTGCAGTACCCCTAGGCCCAGTGACCCTTGCGATATTTCGATAGTTCTGCTTCGTATATTGCTACATCTTCTGGCAGTATTCGCTGCGGTGACGCATGCTTATCCCGGCCCCTCTATCCCACTACTGCATGCTGTACCATCTGATCGTGTCGTCGGGAGCAGGGAGGGCTACCGAGGAGGACTCGGCTATCATGACGTCTAGGCCCTTCAGCAGGGACGTCTCACAGGAGGCGCCATTGCCCCTGGGCAGAAGGCTGCTGCGCGCGGTACGGTGGTCCCTGCGAGGACAAAGAGTTGTTTGGCGTCCATGATGGTGCTGTTGTCGTGTTGCTATTTGCTGTTAGCAAGAGGTGTTGCTATTAGCTGTTGGCAAGATATCCCATGGGTGCAGGCGGCCCGCCCTGGCCATCGTTATGTGCATGTAAATATACCTAAGCCATTGAGTTCCGTTGAATACCGCCAAGAAACTGCGTGGCTCACGGCTTGACCCCATTGGTATGGCCCCAACCCGAGACATGCACGTCCTTGTTTTGTGCCCATCCCTCGCAAACCCGCTGTAGCTTTTCACTCGTCAGCCTTCTTTTATCTTCTCCGTCTCCCCCGGCCTGTCTTTTGCTCATGTGAACAGTTTTCTCAGGGGATTAATCCAGCCTCGAGCATTCGCACACTGAAGGGCCTCTCCAACACTTCGAGGTCTTCGTCTGGGGATACCGAGAATCTCACGCCGCCACCCGCACGCAGTGCCGTGGGGCCCAACAGCATGCTCTGGACGCTTTCCGAGGTCGGTGTTGAGTGCGTTCTTATTTCTGCATTGCGTTAGCATACATCCGTGTTGCCGCCACAAGCTCCACGGGCCCAGCCAAAGGCTGTATTCGATGGCATTTACCATCTGAGGTATTCTTACAAAAAAACAGTTGCAGGTACCATGCGCGTAGCCACGGCCAAAGTTATCCGCCAGCCGTCTTGTATCTCCGTGTCCCGCAGCCATAAATACCAACGGACCTGGGTATTTCCACCCACCTTTCCACCCATTCCGTCGGCCTGCGCTACCAGGCATCGTCACTGGGAGAAGAAGCAGGGTGGGAAACGATTGTGGAGCAGGATGGCATCAAACCGGCGATGGGGCTGACGTCTTTCCACTCGGAGAAACACGGCTTGCGACTTTGGGTCCAACCCGACAGCGTGCCGGTGCCGCTCTCACCAGGGCGCCAAGAAGCCTCGGGACCGATCCGGGTGCGCGACCTGGTCCAGACCGTGGAGTTCGAGGGCGGAGAACTGCAGGGGATTTTGGAGGTAGAATGCCTCCCTTGCGGACGCCGGTTTGACGCGCCCTTGCTGTTAGATTTCCCCGTCGATGGCAGGAACAAGGAAGAGCCCATCATCGACGCCCACGGCAGAATTCAATACGAGGTGAGGGGCATAGCCAAGCGTAAGGAGGGGGGCGTGTTCCCATGAAGGGAAGGCGCGGTTGGAGATGGGGAGCACCCGCGAAAGGTTCCTATCGAGATCGTAGTCGAGCTTGCGTATGGAATGCTGGGGTGGCCTTCGTGGGCTCCCCGTCGTGAGATTCCCGGTGTGAGATGCGGAGGATGTCGTAGCAAAGACCGATTTCAACAACGACGTCGCGTGATTTTCGATTTCCCCCTTTGCCCCTTGGGACAGTCACGCCTCAGAGCTAGAGTGCCCCTATTCACGTTTGTTTTCTTGTTTCCTGCTGCCCCCTGCCTCCCCATGCTAACAAAAACACAGATCCTTATCAAGGACCCTCGCTCCGAGAGTTGGGTCAGGGACCCCGAGAGTTCGATTCCGCCTGAGATCGTCCAGGATAACCAAGGCAAGGTCTACGTGAGAGCCCATGTCCGGCACTTCAGCTGTTGGGGGTTCTTCTTCAAGCCGCTCGACATTGGTCCTCAGCTGTTCCACAAGCAGACGATCCCTTGGGCGCAGAGCAAGCGGCACCAGAGCCTCATCCAGAACAATACCCCCAGGGGCGTGGACGTCCACATCTACGCCATGCGGATGTCCCAGTGGAGCGCCGCCCTGGAGTCTGTTAAGGCGGGGGCAGGGATAGAGGGCTTCCAAGCGAACTTCGAATTCACGGGGGATGTCCGTCAGAACGTCAACCCTGCCGCCCTGGTCCCCCAGATGGTGACTATACCTTCCGGCAATAGCCACTGGATTGAGGTTCCGCGAGTGGGAGCTGGCTTCCGATCGAGCCGAAAGGCGGTGGTCATGATCGTCACGGAGTTCAACGACGAGAACGACGGCAAGAGGATGCGATTGGAGGCCGTGGAGCACCTCCGCAGCAGGACCATGCTAACGGTAACCTTACGTGTGTCTGAAGAAGGCAAGGTAATCGGGAGCCCCGCCGCATCGGAAGCGGGAGGAATTCTGTCCCAATTGATGCGCGCCATCCAGAATGATGTCAATGCCACGCCAAACAACGCGCCTTCGACGGCGGCCCGAAGCCGCAGCGAGACCAACAGCGGGGTGAACATCGGTCTGGGTGCGGAGCGTCCGGGTGCGGAACAGTTCGTCGGTTCCCCCGCGATGGCGGAATCATCAGGCGACGACATCTCTCCGACTGGCGCGGGCCCTGCAGATGATGCCGCCGCCATAGCAACGTCTACCACGAGATCAGCTGGAGATGATGCGGCCGCTGTGACGGCGCCCACCGCGGTACCAGCAGAGGCTGCTGCTCCTGCTGCTGCTGCTGTGTCGGTGGCGGCCGTGCCCGAAGACCGCGAACCGCCTGCGGCCAAAGCTGCTGTTGACGACCCATGGGCTGGCGCTCGTTCAGATGCTCACCCGAATGCTTCTCCGTTCCCGGCAACCAAGTCCGCCGCTACAGTTTCTCCTGTTGCATAAGGCCGTGGACGGTCCGTGAGTTCCTCGTTACGGCGCTTGCAGAGCCACATAGAGTGCCATTGACTGCGACTAGCTTAGCAATTTAAGTGCTCTGTGCCCACCGCACCTGCACGAATTTTATGTGGTCCCTTGTTATCCTGCAGTGGCCACGGCGCATGGCCAAGTGGGGTGCTGATCGGTTTGAAGATTGGTTTTAGTGAGCGTAATTGTTCAACGGGATATAGCCACACATTTTTTTTTAAACCCAGTCCACCAGACCAAGTGTTGTTTTTGTACTATTACTGGCACCCAAGACCTGGGACATGCAGGTCGGACGTAGTTTTGTTTTCTGTTCTTATTGGTCCACCGTCCACCGTTGATGGGATTTGGTGTCCGACTCGTGTTTCCCGCAACGCGAGTGGGGGCCAGGCTACCAGGCGTCAGCCTCAACCAGATCGCGATCGATTGCTGCCTTCTTGTAGACAAACCTTATAGTTTACATGCAGCATTACACGATTCATCCCTATGGGGGGGAGGTGGGTGTTTCGGCATCGCCGCCCGCCTCCTTCTTCGATGGATACCTTGGGCCTACTACTGGCAAATGAGGTGCATTTTTGGCATAACTGTGTGTGCTGTCGGTATATATGCTCAGCGAACGGGGGCTGACACATTTACGCCGTCTGTGGCGTTGGACAGCTGGGCGTGCGGCGTGCGTGGGTGCGTTTCTTAGGTTAGCAATATGCTCAACGAGCGGGGTCCATCACGTTTAGGCCGTCTGTGTCGTTGTGTCCGTGTTTTTTTTGTCAGCGTCAACAGTGCTAACCGGCTGGCCGGCGAAAGGGTTTCAACAATATAAGCGGCATTCAACCAACAACGTGGAACGCGTTTACTACTGTAGGCATCGAACTCTCCCGGCAACGGGGCTATGAAAGAGATTCAGCGATGGTGTCCCGCATCCGGATGCGAAGCACAAGCATGTACGTAGCACTACCGCTGCCCCTCTTTTTGTTCGAGCACCATACATGGCCGGCCGTGATTGGCGTATCATACTCCCTATCCGACATGCCGCTGCTGCCTTTTGAGCTCGCCACTTGCTTCAGCACGTCGTCCCTGCAATTTTTGTCTGGATCTCGCTCCACTAAACCCGTCGTTCAATGACTGGTATTTCCAGCATTCCTCGGTGTTCGAGCGTGCCTGATGGACTGGCCCGGAAAGACAAGGTGGGGGCAGGCGATGTACTTCTCCCGTGTTAATACCGGTGTCGATACGAGGCCCGCAGTTATCATACGGATAGCGCCCGCAGTTAAGAAAATATTGTTAAGAAATTGAGGCTCAACTTTCGAAGAAAAATAAGAAAAAAGGGCTAAGAAACACCGTTCAATCTCGGCAACAACATAGGAAGCGCCCTAATAAGAAACGTGATGGTGCGATACCCCCAAGACGTACGAAACAAGGGGTAGCTGGGGGAGCGTGTCCAGTAAGAAACGTCCCGCTGCTGCTCCTTCGGTGCTCCCTACCTGGCTGAAGAGTGCATGGTTTTTGGAGGGAGGAGAGTGGTACTGCCATACATCGTGAACAACCACATGCTGTCCGCTGTAGTACGGGTTTGATGGCACTCGCCACCGCCTCTCTTGAGGGCTTGAAGAAAAGTGGATTGTCCTCAGAGATCAATAGATAGGCAGAAATGAGAAAATGCGAAGTACTTCTAAGAAAGAAGATGATCAAGAGGATGCGACAGTCCAAAGGAGTAAGAAATGCTTTTTAAGGAAATGGACGACTTTATAGGCAGGTCCTTCGACCCAAAAATAAGGGATTGAGGCTCGACCCGATGTTGACGTGCGTATCTGTACAGGGTACAGGTCACCGGAGCACATACATAATTTTTATTGCACAAGATCCTGTAAACCACAGACAGACACTGTTACGAGGATAAATACAAAACACAAAAAGACTACCCATTCAAGGTACACCCACAGTCGAACGGGATGTGTTGGAGACACTCTCTTAGAGTGAAATAAAAGAAACAGCAATCAAGGGCGACGAGCGACGGAGCGATGATGGCGACTCGAGTAGAAATCGATACACAGAACAGAAGTGATCCGACAAAAAAAAAAAAAAATGCCGACGAACACGGGCAAGCGATATGGCGACGAGGAACTTCACGATTCATGAAGGCATGAAGGCTCAATGTTCCAACACATTTCTTCCCACCAAGCAACCATTTGGGCCTTTCTTGGTCAACCTTGTCTTTTACGAGGGTCACAACGTAGTGCGTTCTCCGGACCGTTCCTCGCGATTTATTTTCCGGGCCGGTCACCTTCCATTCCTCCGTTTTCCGTGCCTCTCACTTACCCACCACTCAATCCATTTCCATCGTCGCTGGATTTCGAGTCCACCGTAGAGGGCAGCCAGCTTGAGAAGGGACAGAGTTAGGGGCGAGCTTTCGCTGGCGAGAACACACCACCAGCGCTCCGGGGAGTGCCGCTTCACCCGACCACAGAACAAGAGGTGGTTTCCGCGGGGTCCGCGGGACATACATGTGAGTTCACCTGCGATTAGTCCCACTTCCCTTTCAGAGCACGAGAGGGAGAGGAACATGCTGTAATTTTCTTCTCACCTCCGAGAGTACGCTGTAGAGAGCTCCCGCCTCATTGTGGTGCTCCTTGCGACGAGAGCTCGCAACAGGCAACTCGACGGAGTATAATGGTGAACGTAGGTGAAAGAGCACCGTCTTGTTCCTGTCTGTGTTATCGGGGGTCATGATAATAATGTGCAAATTTGATCACGAAGAAAGATGATGAATACGTGGGTGCGTGCGTGGTGTCCACGCAATTCAGGGTAGTGTGTGAACCCCGGCTCACCTCTCCCTGTGTGGTATGTTTTCTTCGGCCCACAGAAAGCATTTCCCGTGTGTCTGACCATGCCAGCGGATAGAAAGCACTCGGGTGGCTGAAGGGTTAACGAGTCGAGTGCACCCTCCCCTGTCCCTCCCCTCCCCTCCCCTCCCCTGATTGTTAAGGGCGGCAGTCTGTCCACAGGAACGCGGACACTTTTTTTCTCTCTCTCTTGGAACACAAAAATAGTTACTCGCAACTTCCGAGCCTCGAATGATCGCATGAATCTGTCGTATGCTGTGGCGTGATTTTCTTGCCCCAGGCTAGCGCATGCGTGTTGTTGTTGTCTTCACATTAAAAACCGTTCCGATCTCTCTCTATCCAGTACCTTCGTATGTCCGTACTGATCCAACATTCGACGCGGTCGATTCCCGTGGTCACAGGTTAACTTACCCTAAAAAGGTTCTCTCAAATAAACTGGCCCCGAGGGGTCCGCAAGTCAATAGAAATCAACGACAGATATTCCGGAATCCTCCATTCCCTCTGTGCGCTATGCGAGGTATCAACTGAGACTAGCAGTCACTATCTATCATGGGCCGGAGAGAAAGAGGTACACCCCCGTGGTTCAATCTTGGTACTTCACAACGCAAGCAGAGACAAGGCCATCCGGCACAGAAAAGGAGAGAAAAAAAGAGAGAAAAAGAGAAAAAAGAGAAAAAATAAATAAACAAAGAATAAGAATTGCGTGTATGGCATTGCTAAGTCGCGAGGCTCTGCAGTCAGTACCGGATTGTCTTTCCTTGAAAAATAATGCCGCCGCATTAATTCAAGTATATTGATTGTGGCCGAACTACAGTAGTAGACTCTATTGGACATACATGTCGTATCAGACGAATGTAGCGTGTAGCGCGTAGCGTGGTATGTGGCGTTGTTGCGCCGCAAATAATCTACAAGTCGTTTTTCGCCCTCGCCGTTCTCAACTTGGAACGAATGTTCGCGCGGATGTGATGACAGCATCTCAGTCGTGAAGAGCATGAAGAAACCGGACTGCTCGTATATGAACGCCTGTGTCGCCCCCCTTTCTCTGCCCGTTCTTTGTCGCTCTATCTTGCGCTCAACCCTCTCATTTCCAGCGTTTGAGCACTCGGCCGGTTCCTCCCCCCTGTTCTTTTGGAAATAGCTGACGATGGCTGCATCAACATCTTCTCCTAACGTGACTGACGCACTACTCGAACCAGGTGAGAAAACGATTCTTCCAGGTACCGTCGAAGATACTTGTCGAGAGTCGGGTGCCACTGGGTGGTGGTGTTTGCATTTGTTGCTGTTTGACGTGTTTCCTCCTGGGACTACTTGTTGGTGGACGCCCAAGAAGAGAGTCCACGGGTATATCCGCCAACGTCTATAGATGCGTCCACGAACCGGTTTGCGGATACATCCCTCCCATGGACTAGACTGCATGCTCACGTGCGCCTATTCGCCGGATGACGAAAACAGCCTAAACCCCAGCCTAAACCCCTAGTCTTGGGAATTAGAGCCCGCTTGACGCAAGCCACACATGGGGCACGTTGTTGATGCTCAATGCACAATGCTAAAAGGTTCGGGGTCTGTTTCGTTCAACCAACGCAATTAATTTCGAAAACGCCATCCGTATGTAGACTATGTGCGTATTTTCCTAAAATACATCGGCGGGGGGTTCGGAATGCGTGTAGTTGCGGGGCAATCGAAATTCTAAGTGTTACATGTGAAAAGAGGGAATCGTCCTCGATAGACGTTGGGAAAGTAGGCCTTCATGAAGGTAATCTTAAACAAGGTTGTTGAAACGACGGCTTGCTATCGGACGACGGCAAAGAGGACGCCCTGTTGTTCTGAAGCATGAGAAAGAATGTGGCGCGAGAGATCCAACACTTGCAAGTTGATTGTGTCGCTGTGCAAGCGCGGGCTAGGTACTCGTCGAGGGCTAGGACTAGGTGTGAGAACTCCCTCCCCCGACAGACGAACAGACGCCGGTTTATTGTTATTATATTTCGCCTGCCCCCTATTGAAGCTCTAAGTTCTCCCTGTTCCACGTGGCTTTCACAGATCCATGGCCGGTGTTGCGGCAACAGTGATGCTTTGGTTGCGGTCGTGTTTTTTCGGCGCTGGTTGTGGGTGGGCGTCATATGATATTGTACTTCGTATGTACCAGGAGCCCTTGCATCACTCAAAATTGCGCACCACGTTGGTGTTCCTGCCGCCGGACGTAGAACATGCTCTATCGCAAGATTCCTTCACGAAGGAGCGACGCAAAAAGCCGTATCGTGCCGCAAGACTCACCAAGCATTCAGGTTGGTGTTGGCGGTCCACAGCCCAGCCCGTGTATTTAACCACGTGTATCCAGAACGCATGAGTAGTATAGAAGCCGAAATCAAACCATTGGACTAGTCAGCGCTGACGTTTTGATTTCGGCTTCTACATAGCCTAGTCTAATTAACGGTTTGATTTGGGCTCCTTAGTCCGATAGCAAAGACGTTTTGAAACGACGCACATCCCCCCAAAAAGGGAGATGTATCAACCGCAAAGACCCCCTCTTGCTTGTGCTTCTCGAGCCCTCAGCGCCGATGTTCGGGCTTGGTGTCGTGCTCCAGTGCGTGAGCTTCACAAAAGTGTTCGTCGTTCGTTTGTGTTCCATGGGTGCACCCCTAACAGCGCAAAGATGTGCCAAACCACACCGGGGAAAGGAGTCTCGCCCACGAGTACTTTTCTTCAGTTTTTTTCGGTGCCCCGCTTGATAGCACTGCACGGGGTGTTCTCCTCAACTTGAGACGTTCCTCTGACGAGGGGGGAATTGCATTATGGAAATACAGGACAGTCGATGGAGGCGCGAACAAAGACGTGGCCCAGAGGGTTGGCATCCTAGACTGCTGCAGGCCGTGGGTTCGACAGGGAGTGCCTGTACCCAATAGCGCGTTAGACACGACACCACCAGCAGCGTGTTCCTTCCTTGAGTTTTGCAATTCCATGTGAAGACGACGGACTCTGAGCAGAATCCAAGAAACTGGGAGGGAATGGATAGCGTGATGAACACCCACGCGTCGTCGCTACCATACCCCCTAGGAGCTGGATGGAAGAATGACAAGCGTGTTCGCTCCTAACGCAGTGACCATTGCCGCGACGCACGCTTTACCCCGGCCCCTCCATTGGCACTGCTGCATTCTTCATCATCGCTTCGTGTTGCGACAGCAGGAGCGCTGTTCGAGGAAGGCTTGGCGCCAGCATCGACGTCGTCTGGCGAGTACGACAGAGACGTCTCACAGGCGGCGGCATCGCCCCTGAGCAGAAGGCTTCGACGCGCGGTGCGATGATCCTTGCGAGCATACGGGGTCGCATCCGTGTTAGTATCCCTATTGGTATTTGCTTCAGGCAAGAGACCGTGTGCATGCAGGCCGCCCAAGTCGTCGTTTCGGATCATCGGCCGGAATCACGTTGTTCGCCGGTACCCATCAATGGACCGTGAAGTCCTCTTGAATATGCCCAAAGCACGATCTGGCGCACCACTTGACCCCCGTCGGTATGGTGGCTCTGCCGACGCGTACTTCGTACTCCGTATACACATGCACGTTACACTCCGCGCTCATCCATCGCATCCCTGTTGTAATTTCCCGTCGGCCATTTGTATTTCTCTCTTGTCCCCTCTCTTCGGCCGATCTTTGCTCGAATTAACAGCTTTCTAGGGGGATTGATCCAGCCGCGAGAGTTCGCTCCTTCAAGCGCAGCCCCGCGACTCCAAAGCCAGGGTCCGCCGATACCTCGCATATCTCGCCGCCTTCCGGGTTCTCTGCCGGGGGCTCCAACGTCGTTTCCGACGACGATGTAAGTCCGTTCTTTCGTTCCGCTCTGGAAAACATCCGAACTGTTGCTGCCGCTGAGGAAACTACCTTCACGGGCCCAGTCCAACGCTGCATGCGGTCTCTCTAACCCGTAGCACGAACGTTGGTTAAATTGACCACAAAGGTTTCCCCTCGCCGTCTTATGTTTCCAATCTACGAAAACAATGATCTGTTGTCGAGTAAATCGGCCCTTCCACCCGCAAACAACACGCGACCTTTCACCACCAGGTGTCCTCACAGGGAGAGGAAGAACGCGACTGGGAAACGATTGTGGGGCAGGATGGCATCAAACCGGCGATGGGGCTGACGTCTTTCCACTCGCAGAAACACGGCTTCCGACTTTGGGTCCAGCCCGACAGTGTGCCGGTGCGGTTCTTGCAAGACCAGCAGGCCTCAGGCCCGGTCAGAGTGGGCGACTTGTCCCAGACCGTGAGTTTGGAGGGTGGAGAACTGCAGGGGGTCTTGGAGGTAGAATGCCTCCCATGCGAGCGCCGGTTTGACGCGCCCTTGATGTTGGACTTCCTCGTCGACGGGGATAGCCACGGTGACCGCATTATTGACTCCCACGGCAGGATTCAATACGAGGTGAGCTAGTAATCATCACCAGGGAGGAAGAACGTTTTCCCCTACGGGGAGACGTTGTTGGAGATGGGGAGCACCCATGAGATGCTGATGTCGAGAGCGTAGTCGAGATGTTGTGTGGATGCTCGGGTGGCTTTGGTAGACTGCCCGCCCGACATGAGCTTAGCAGAGGATGTTGCAGCAATGGCCATTTCAACAGCGACATCACGCGCTTTCGATTTCCCCCTTGGGACAGTCAGGTCTCAAAGCTAAAATGCCCGTATTCACGTGTGTCTCCTTGTTTACTGCTGCCCCCTGCCCCCCCCATGCCAAACTATCACTCAGATCCTTATCAAGGACTCTCACTCCGAGAGATGGATCAGGGACCCCGAGCCTTCGATTCCGCTGGAGATCGTCCAGGATAACCAAGGCAAGGTTTACGTCAGAGCCCATGTCCTGCACTTCAGCTGTTGGGGGCTCTTCAAGACGAAACCGCTCGTATTTGGTCCTGAGCAATACCACACACAGACAATCCCCTGGGCGCAAAGAAGGCGGAATCAGAGCGTCATCAAGAACAATACCCCCGGGAGCGTGGACATCCACATCTACGCCATGCGGATGTCCCAGTGGAGCGCCGCCCTGGAGTCTGTTAAGGCGGGGGTAGGGATAGAGGGCTTCCAAGGGAACTTCGAATTCACCGGGGACGTTCATGAGAACGTCAACCCTGCGGCCCTGGTCCCCCAGATGGTGACTATACCTTCCGGCCATAGCCACTGGATTGAGGTTCCGCGAGTGGGAGCTGGCTTCCGATCGAGCCGAAAGGCGGTGGTCATCATCGTCACGGAGTCCAACGACGAGAGCGGCGGCACGAGAGTTCGAATGGAGGCCGTGGAGCACCTCCGCAGCAAGACCATGCTAACGGTAACCTTACGTGTGTGCGAAGAAGGCAAGGTTATCGGGAGCCCCGCCGCCGCGGAATCGGGCGGCATTCTGTCGCAGGTAATGCGAGTCATCCAGAATCAGGTAAATGCCACGCCACACAACCCGCCTTCCACGGCGGCCAGAACCAACACGGCGACGGGCGCAGGTGCGGGGAGTCTGTTTGTTGCTTCCCCCGCGATTGCGGGAGTTTAAGGCGTCGGCAGCTCTTCGACTGATGCGGGTCCTACAATCAGTGCTGCCGTTGTGACTGTGGTGGCAGTGTCCGAAGCCCATCAAAAGCCAGTCTCCACCATTGCGCTGCTGCATGAACTCAACCGAGTGCTTCCCACGCCCGCAAGTCGCTCCCGACGCTGCAGCTTCCAGTGCTGCAAAGGGTCGTGAAACGTACGTACGTTGCTGCTTGGAACGCTTGCGGAGCAACTTAGGTAGCGATTAGGTGCGGGTAGCCAAGCAATACGGGGCTCTGTACCCACCGCGCCTGCACGAGTATCACCAAACCCCTTGTTGCGCATCAGGAACCCTGCTGTGGCCGCGGCGCACGCCAAGTGGGGTGCTGATCGGTTTGGAATGGATTGATTTTACGGAGCGTCATTCTTCGATAAAACAGAACGAAGAGTGGTTGTATATGTGCAGTCATCAAAGGGATAGAGCCAAGCGTTTTTTTTTACCCAGTCCACCAGACCAAGTGTTGTTTGTGTACTACTCGCACCCAAGACCTGGGACATGCAGCAGGTCGAAAGTAGTTTTAATTTTCTGTTCTTCGTTCGGAACAATGATCGTGTTAGTCGATGTGATTCGGTGTCCTACTCGTGTTTCCCTCAGGGCTAGTGGGGGCCAAGCTACCAAGAGAGTTAGGCTCAACAGATAGTGGTTGATTGCTGTCCCCCCGTAGAATAGTTTAGACTAGGCACCTTTACTACTACTAGTGGTTTGCATCTGGCATAAGACGTGTCATGTGGCGACAAGGGAGTTGAGTGTTTCGGCATGACCGCCGGCGGCCTCCCGGATAGATATATTTGCATCTACGAACGACGATGAGGTTGAATGATTGTCAAGAACAGTGGGCGCGATTGTGGGTGGCATGTTCCCAACATGTGGGCAATGAACGCAGCCCTACATATTTAACAACATCTTTGGCGTCGGAAAAATGTCTTCGATTGCAGCATATGGCCGCGCGCGCGTGTGTGCGTGTTTCACAGGTCACCCTGATGGTGGCGAATCTGATAGTAGCAGAGGTTGTGGTTCGATTCTCTCTCAGGAGGGTTTCTCTGCCTACCATTACATACAGTGCAAAACAATCCTTTTCGTTTGGAGTACTCACACTTGGCCATCATGGTCGACGAGAGATTCTCGCAGTAAAAACTACCCCAAGTACCGCAGTAGGAGGTAAGATGCGGCGAACAGAAAAAAGAAAAAAAGTCCCTTTATGTGACCTCTACTGTGCCCCAGAATAAACGAGACACAATAAGAATGTAATCTACTTGTAGACTAGACGCGTAGATACCTCGGATCGCTCTGATCGGCACCCAGTATAAGGTGGCGGGGAGTTGCAGTCAGCGGGATAAAAACCTCAGCTGGATAAAACTACCTGTGCAAGAGGTTGGGCGACAAAAGTGTCCCGCATTCGATGCATCACCAGAAGAAGAAGAAGACCCAACACCACCACGCATTCCTGCTGCTTCATCTGCTGCTCCTCCTGTGTGCAAACTCTATTCGTGGGCTCCTCCTTTTGGCCTGCCGCACCACAGGTAGGTATATTCACGGCTTTCTTTCCTCCTGGAGTTCTTGCCTTGAAGTAACACATGTGAGCCTTGCAACAGGCTTCTCAGCAGTCCCTTCTGCCTGCTTGATGGCATCTACTTCCGACTCGTCCTTGTTGCGGGGGTTCATCAATGCTCAGGGGAATGCTTCGAAATCCACATCTATCATCCATCCATCCATCCGTCCCACGCGTCCTGCAAAGCGACAAGGTTAAGGTTCCTGCAAAGCCACAGTGTCACAGCAGAAGTGTTGGCCGTTGGATCCGCAACGAAGCAACGTAAATCATTTATGCGATCCGTGATGCCTCGTCCCAGGTACACCTGTTTACTATCTTATGCGGTATTGTGATTGGCCAAGGCTGACGGCTCCCACAGTCTCCCCAACCGACGTACGAACGAGGTTGGTCTCACCGTCTCACGTCACCACCGGCAACCGGCAATATTCTGTTCCGCCGCAGCTTTCTGCGGGCGGCTAATTTCGGAAAGTAAAGGGTAGGGGGGCACGAAACCTGTTACAGACTGCTGTTGTTGTGTGGCCAGTTTTCTGTCATCTATCGGCAACAAACTAGTCTACCTCCGTTGGACCGCCTGGGCGGGGTGCGGGGTGGCGCAGTGGTCTGCAGTGATCCGTCCTGCCTAAGAGCGCGGAGGGTCTTCCTCCTATCGCAAAAGGTGTGTGTGTTGGTGTGTATCGGGTGCGGACGCAGGGAGCCGGAGGAGAAAATGTGCCTCTTTTTTATTGTGTGTTTTCGTCTCTCTCTGTCTGTCTGTCTGTCTGTCTGTCTCTCTCTCTCTCTCTCTCTCTCTCTCTCTCTCTCTCTCTCTCTCTCTGCTGCACCATCCACTCTGCTCTCTCCCCAACACACGAAACCGTCAGGTCGGGCGCCTACCTATCCACCCATCGATGTGTTGTACGACAAAGCGCCGTGCGTTTTTTGTTCCTTTAACACATGGTTGTTGATGGTGCAGCAACGCATCTATGCACAAAGCCACAACTCGGCATATCCGTTGTTCTTAGAAAATGTGGTCTGAATCGCTATGCAGACGAAGTCGGTTTTATTATAGGTGGTGTCTCTGGTCTGCTTTCTGTAGGCCAGACTACATGTAAGCTGGGCGCAAACCGGGGGCGAGAGAGTGGGTTTTGTGCGAAGGTGCTGCACGCGTGTATCTGCTATAAACAGACCGACCCTCGTGCACAAGATCACCTGTGGTAGGACTATCGTGAGTGATTGTGCAGCAGTATGATTGAAGGCGGTGGCTTGATGGAGAACTACCTACTGCTGTTCGTAGCTGCTGTTCGTAGCTGATTGTTGTGAAGAAGAGGCACACAGCGGTTGCGTACCAATGGTTGCCGCGGCGTCCATCTACTACCACCTCGGACTCTTGCCACTCTATCGGCGTTACTTTGCGTGGTGTGCGGCCGTGCACACACGCGCACAGCTCTCCCATCGCGCGATTATTTGTTCTCATGACGAACTACACGTTGTAGTGCATACTTTGCTGTACATGCTGCTGTACACCTGATGTGATGAAGAATGTGTACATGTACGTTCATCGCCTTGGATGTTGGTGTTGTTGTCTTCACATTGTTCCGATCTCTCTACCCAGTACCTTCATCCGTCCGTAGTATCCCTATTTATTGTCTAGATATGCATCGATTGACGCGGTCGATTCCCTTGGTGACTGGTCACAGCCTAACTTACGCGCAGGCAAGAGTTTTATACACCCATGGGTACGCAAATACTCCGCAAATAGGCCATGCACAAATCGCGCCTTGGAGGATTTTTTTCTGGTGTCCATTCTTATCGAAGGCAAAGTACCGCAGGAGGGGAGGGTGGAGAGGGGCTCTTCTGTGTGACCACGGGTTGGAGTAAAACGGCACTATTATAGTGCTGTGAGAGCTGATTTCAAGTGAAGCAAAAAAAAAAAAAGTCTTATTTTTTAGAAGGTACCCTCCCTTTGGGGGCGGTTGGCTTGTGACGACGGAAAAGCGTCCTCGTCAGTTGGACCAGTACGGACATTAGAAGGTACTGAGCGGAGACCGGAACGGTTTCTTATGTGAATGCAACAACAACAACAACCCTCGACAGACCAAAAGCACTACAATACCTGCAGTCAAAATATACGGGCAAAATGTTCCGAGGCTCGGACCCTTGCCCTACGCCTCTTCACGTCGTAGATGTGTCCCTTCAACCAGCGACCAGTTGATTTTCCAATCAAAGCAGTTCTAGCGCATATAAACACTAGGTGCTCTGCTTTGGCGGGGGCACGAAGCCGGCTAAACCCCTTACGCTAACCCCAAACCCACCCGATAGGTGCTTTGTTGGCGCTGGGTGGCTCAGTTCTACGTTGGTGTGTCAGGATTGGCGCTAGGTTGGTGTTGACGGGAACACTCTAGTGCGTTACAGCCTGGATAGGTGCTACTGCTGTAGATTGGCGTTGATGGGATAAATCTAGGTTGATATTACCTGGATAGGTGCAAGGTTGGTCCCGACGTGGCTAGGTGCTAGGTTGGTGGGCCTTGGAGAAGGGCTAGGTCGCTCTAAGGTGGTAATAAACGGTTTTCGTGCAGGTCTGTACAGGCGGGACTGCCAAGTTGTGGGTGATTGGCTTATGTGCGTACCCGTGGGTGCATCGAATATGTTCCGCGTTCCGCATGTATGCCGGTCTAGTTGGTATCCTCGGAACCTTCTAGAGGTCAGGTCAGGGGTTCGAATCCCGGCGTAAGCGAGCTTTTCTCGAAAAAGTGAGTTTTTCTCTCGCTTCCACTCCTGGCCTAGTGGATAGCGCTAGTTCGTGTGTACACAGAGGGAAGAGCGCTCCTGGCCAAGTGGATAGCGCTAGTTCGTGCGTACACAGAGAGAAGAGAGTGCTGAACTCTTCTCGCATTAAAAATTGAAGGCGAAGGACGGCAGGAGGGGAGGGTAGAGAGAGGCTCTTCTGTGTGACCACGGGTTGGAATAAACGGCACTAGTGCTGTGAGCGCTCATTTGAAGTGAAGAACAAAAAAAAAAAAAAAAAAAAAGAGGGAAGAGAGCGCTCAACTCTTCTCGCATTATAAATCGAAGGCAACGTACCGCAGGAGGGGAGGATAGAGAGGGGTCCTTCTGTGTGACCACGGGTTGGAGTAAACGGCACTAGTGCTGTGAGCGCTGATTTGAAGTGAAGAAACCAAAAAAAAAAAATAATAATAATAATAATAATAATAATAATAATAATAATAATAATGGATCCGAAGGGTCCGCAAGTCAGAAGAATCAGCGACAGAAAGCCTACGCTGTAGCCTACAGTAGACGCCTAGACCCCGCCCGCCTCTGCCTAGTACACGCTATGCGAGGTAAACATAGACTGGAAGACCACATCACGGGCCTGGAGGGGTATTGCAGGTGTGTAATGCCCTGGTACTTCACAGAAGAAAAGAGAGACAGCCACCTGGAAAGGAAATATAAGAAAAAAGAAAATAGATAATCTGGAGCTGTTAAGCGTCAGTCTCTCCGGCCTAACAATAGCCCTAAGTTCATTTTTGTCGCCGACCCTCTTATTCCGATTCCCATACCCTTGCCCGACCGTGTCTCAAAAGCCGATCTCGACCTAGGCACACGTCAGGCGACATCCCGACCATGCCTTGGTGGGGCATCGTAATGAACCCCTAGACTACCGTGGCGACAAACAAACAAACAGAACAAACAAGACGAAAGGGCCACCAAAGGCACGTCATCGCTCGTGGGGAGTTGGTGCAATGGTGCAGTGAAGGAGGGGGGGGGGGGATTAGTCAATGAAGGTGTTCTTTCCGGCACATTCTGCGCCACTCGGTCCGCTGAAGTAATGAAGTATTATATTGTTGTTCGGACTCCGACAAAGCGTCGTTTTCTTCATTTACCTCTGTACCATGGAGTCTCTGCTGTTGTGCACGCCGTCAACGCAGTAGACCCATTTCCCCAGAAGCTTGTCAACAGCAGTATTAGTAGATTACACCAGTATAGGGGATTGGAACTAAGTAGCTGTGACAGGTCGTCAGCAGTGGGCCGCGAACGGTTCGGGCCAACATTAAGGTTTGCACACTTTTTCGGACTGTAGCTTCACCCTTTTGACAGCACGGCCTCAGCAACGAATATGGGCGAGCCAAACGCGCATGCCGCTGCTTCATGATGTCCTCCACCGGAACGTGTGCTCCGATCGGGACTCCGCAACGCACAAGACCTTTCTTGAGCTACCCGCCGTGTCGCCTGTTTTTGTGTTGAATATGGACCGGTAGAATTTGTTTGTTGTCTTCGTTTGAGAGAAAGGTGCGTGGAGGCACTACTGTAGACTTCGCGATAAGCTGTTGGAAACAGTCCAGGAATGGTTTACTGCCGAACACTTCCCCGACTTGCCTCAAGTGTTTCGTGTGTGATTGCTGGGTTCTTTCTGGACCGTCTTCGAAGTACACGTAGTGGAGAAAATCGAGATCCGTCGGCCAGAACACAGCTCAGCAGAGGGTCCTTTACCAGGCAACACAATCAACCTGTACTCGACTTGGTGACGTACTTCGAAGTCGGCCCAAAAATGATAGTAAAACAGGGGGGGGGGCGCCAGTCCCTCTTCGTCCATGTACCGTACTGAAGCTAACCCCCCCTCGGCACGTCCGACAAGATTGACGGCAGCGGCAACGATTTGATTCCGCGCCTGATGATGATCCCCTTCCTTCCCTCCTTCCTTCTGCCGCGTGGTGTCGTGGTGTCAAATCCGCCGTCAATTCACCTGCTGGAGGTTCGCCGCGATGTCGACGGGCAGCGACAAAGGTTTCGAGATGCAGAACCCCCTGTTCCTGCAGCATGCCAATGGCGGTGGCGACTCGGACGCAGAGGTCGCCACGAGCAACGACGATCGCCGACGGCGGCGGCGGCGTCGACCCGGTACAAGAGGCAACGACATTCTACAGCCCGGGGGCGTTGGCACCAATAGTAGCAGCCACGGCAGCGCTGAACGGGGGCGCCGGCCGCACGGCGAAGCACTCGCCGCCATCGGGGAAGGTCGTGGTCAGGCGGAGCGGGTATGCGGCGACGGCGATGGCGGCGGTAGTTTTGCCTCCTCGAGGTCCGTGACGAAGCCGGCCTCTCATCACCGCCGCCGCAGCCGTAGCCGCAGCGGGAGGAGTCGCGGCGAGGAGGGTGGAGCCGGACAGGAGCAATGCCTACCACCAGGAGGGCACAGGCGCAGCCGCAGCCGCAGCCGCAGCGGCAGCAGTCACGGCGAGGAGACTGGGGCCGGACAGGAGCAATGGCACCCGCCAGGAGGGCACAGCCGCAGCCACAACCGTAGCCGCAGCCACAGCCACAGCAGCAGCAGCAGCAGCAGTCGCGGCGAGGAGATTGGGGCCGGACAGGAGCAATGCCTTCGACCAGGAGGGCACAGCCGCAGCCACAGCCGCAGCCACAGCCGCAGCCACAGCCGCAGCCACAGCCGCAGGAGTAGTCGCGGTGAGGGGGTCGGGGCCGGACAAGAGCAATGGCGAGGGCAGCAAGCTCGCGGCGGACCGGTAGTCGTAGGGGATGAGTTGGACGGTCGCACCAGCAGCGGCAGCAGGGTGGGGCCCCCCTCGACTGCGAGGGGCATGGAGCCACCGGTCCAGGGGTGCGGCATAATGTCGTCGACGACCTTCTTGAAGCTGGTGCGTGCGGCGGTGGCCTTGTTTTGGTCCATTCTTCTCTCTCTCTCTCTCTCTTGCGCGCGCTTTTCCGGTGAAGCAGGCTTTGTGTTGGTGCGGTGTGTCTGCACGCATTCTGGTCACCTCAAAAGGTTATTTTCGCCCACTGGGGTTATGACATCCAACGGTTGGTTGCAGGGGCGCATCAAAACGTGGTTCGAGCGCGAGAGATTTCGGGTCGGCTGTTGAATGCCTCCTGTCTACCTTGCTGGACGTGTGAACAGCTAGCTAGTTTTTTCGCGGGTGGTGCGCTGATAACGTCCATTTTGCTTCCCCTTCCCCCCGTCGCCGCCGCTGCTGGCATGACAGGCGTTGAAGCTTTTGTATTGCTTCACTCTACCGCATTTTATTACGCCCAACTAATACGAAACCAACCCTACAGGTGACGGTCTTGGCGATGGCGTACTTTGGGGTCAAGCTTTGGACATTGCACTACGACCCTGCCAGCGGCAGGCTCTGCACCTTCCAGTGAGCACTTTTTTTCTGAATTTTCGGGCAGCGTGCTGCTGTCGAGAGAGACGGTCGATGGGCGGACGATGCGGCGCCGACATCGAAAATCCGAGCCTGTTCTTTTTCGGCTTGTCTTCTTTCCGCATCGATCTGTAACCGTAAAGAGCTGCCTGCTGTCGAGAGTGGCTTAAGCCTTCCCGGCTTTGATGCCGGCATATTTCATCTTTTCCCGACATCACCGGGGCTCGAAAACAAAAAATGGAGTCTAGGCTCGCCACCACCGCCACACCCCAGTGGTTTCGCGTGGGAGATTTGTCAGCAAACCAATGGACTTCTCCGAGGCACACACACGCGTACCACGCCAAAATTCCCCGTGTTTTGTCCCACACTCGTGTCTTTGGCCCCTGAAAACATTCGTTCCACGACAGCAGTCACTCCTGCTTGTTGTATAGTACGGACCAAGGTTTGTTTTTTTGCCTGAACGTTTGATACCAACTCTCGTGTGCTGCGACATAGTACAGGCGTTCCACCTGGTGGTGATGCCGCTATCCCAAAATCCGTCGCGCCGTAAATCCACGTGCTTGCGGCTTCGGACGTTCGCGTATACTCCATGATGTATTCCCCAAAACAAAGGGGAAAAACTAAACGCCGACATTTGATTTTGATGTTTGTTTGTCTGCCGAAATATGCACATGCAGCCTCGGGCTTTGCTCGAGCGCGCCCAAGCAACATGACTGTACGCTACACACAATCTAGGAACACCTCTTAGCAACGGTGGCTATTAAATATAGGTAGAAGTCCCGGGACGCTCTCTATTCAGAGCTGCTCTTCCTTCCTCGTCCATTTTCTCGTCCTGATGACGACGACTCGCTTGAACCCCCCCCCCCCACCCCCCCCGGGGCGTCGCGGTTTCGTTTGTCTCTTCCGCCAGCGATCGACACGCCTGCGTGACGTCGGCGTTGTCGAAGGTGTTACTCACGGTGTCTCGGATGTCCGCCGGGGCGCTGCTGCCAAGCATGGCGTGCTGCATCCTGTCTAAGTGCTACGCCACGAGATACTTCCTCCACCACAGCTGGCTCGCCCTCGTCGTTAGCTTCGAGCCCGCACACGAGCTCCACACTTGTGAGATACTGATACTGCTGTACGGTCGCATACATGGCGAGCCCTCGTCGGTAGCTTCGAGCCCGCCCACGAGCTCCACACTTGTGAGAGATGCTGATAGTGTACGGCCGCATACATGCAAAGCGAGCTTGCCGTGCTGCTGGTGCATGGCCATCATAATGCCGTGACCGGCAGTCTTTTCGCAAGCAGGGACCGGCGGGTCTGAGATACACGCGGGTAAGAATGGTCTCCATGGCAGTGGTTGCATGCGCGGATGCACGGCAAAGGCCAAACACAGCAGTGTCCCCCCTCCTCACGCGCGTGGGGCTTGTCTTCAACCTTTTATTTGTGTCGAGCAGACTTCGGGTCGTTGACGCTGCTGTTCGGCGTGTTGCACGGCCTGGCCCACTTGGCGAGAGAGGTCAACGAGGGCCACTGGAACTGTTTCGCCTCGTCCATGGGCCGCTCTGGGTTCATTGCCCTCGTCCTGCTGTTCCCCATCGCTGTGCCGATGCTGCTGGGACGTCCGAAGAAGCTGGTGAGTTACGCGAGCTCTACGAGCGAAGGCATCATCGGCTAATAGCTAGAGGGCGGGGTTGTTCAGGAGGGTTGGGTGCGTCCACCGAAGTTTTGGGGGTCATGCGGCTTGTCCCCTTCGCTCAAGGGCATGGCGGTTTTTTTCGGCAGCTAAGGTCATGGGTGTGCTGCTCGTTTGAAGTTGTGCAGACAACGGCAGTTTTTTCAAGAGCCGATGACGCCCGTAGGTACGGCCGACCGAATTTTTGTTGTCTGCATCGCCATGTTTTTTTGGTCTTGCGTGCCCGGTGCCCCTTCCTAGGCGGCCCTCCTCGTAGCGCTGGCGCGCGGGGGGGGGGGGCTCCGCGGGTGCGCAGGCGTAGCTGGTGCCTCGACAGCGACGGGCTGTTTCATGCTGTTCTCGGAGCAGGCGATTGGTTAGGCTGGGTCCTGCTATAAAAGCGCTGTCCTCCCCTCGCCCTTGCCACCCCTGCGTGTCTGGCAGCACGCACGCGTGCGGCGAAGAAGTCGCATGCGGTGCCCTGCATCTTGTGCTGTCCCGCAGAAATAACCAACAGAAAGGGGGGGCAGGGGCGGGCGGAGACTGACAGTGCGAACAGCAGTCAGTAGCTCGGCCTCCGGTCTCGGCGGCCACCAGCTAACCCGGTGCCCCCCCATTCGCCCCGCAATAATTGAATATTTCGTTTTTTTTTCGGCGGCCTTGTGCACAGATGACGTTCGAGTTCCGCAAGGCTCTTCACATGCTGTTCATTCCCTTCATGGTGGCCATGTGCTTCCACGGGAAGGTCCTGGCGGTGCTGGCCGGCATCCTGGTGGCCTGGTACCTCGTTGACCGGACGTACTTCACGACCAGGATGTGAGAGCTCGCCGACGGGACGGCGACCCGGAGGGAGGACTTGACGTGACGCGATTGTTGCTTCGTTTTTTCTGGGGTCTTTTCCCGACACACACAGAGAGGGAGATTTTCACGAGAGTGATTTTCGTTGGAAAGAAACGGGCATTCTCAAGAGAGGGGAGGGCGGGTGGGGGGGGGGGGGAAACTAAACCAGAAAAAAAAAAAGCCAAAAGGCCAAAAAAAAGGGAGAAAGAAAGAGAAAGAGAGAGAAAGAGAGAAAAAGAGAGAAAAAGAGAGAGAGAGAGAAAAAAAGAAAGAAAGA